CCTATCTCCAAACCGATTCTGCTATCATGTACTTTATATTAGCAATATTTTCTAAAAACATTTTTAATGATTTTAAAGTAGATTTGTTAACGATTGGGCTACATTGGTTCAATCAAAGTCAGCAAGTTAGTGTAGCCCTATATGCAATTTATCAAACGCGCATGGAGGTGAAATGCCCGGAAGAGCACACGGGAAATGTGTTTCTGTATTGCGAAATCGTTATTACAGTTTTAAACTATATTTCACAATTACTTCGGCTTAAATTATATTTATTAACTTTCAATTTTATTTTGGAACGTCTTATTTAAAAAAAAAACGTTTTGGATGAAGGTAAGTGTGTTACCGTTTTTGTTGAAACCCGTTAAAAGGAAAATGATACATTTCTACTAAAACAATCCAGCACATATATTATTCGAATAGTCTCAAAACAACAGCGCAGTTTTATAACTATATGTTTGGTGTATCCTTATTTTCAGTGGAAAGAACGAAGTCCAAAAGTTTTTTTTTTTTTCTGCCGACGTTATGGGTATTGTAATTCAAAGTGCGTGCTTATTTATGGCGTTCACAATGAGTAAGTATATTATTGTAACATATATTCGGAAGCAAGCATTAAAAATTCGCTAGTGTACTTAAATATTTATTATTATTTGTTTATTCTTATTTTCAGTGACCCACGAACAGCTTAACGCCTCCTTAGTGGTGCACTTATCAATGGGTCAATTAATAGTAAAATGTTAAACAGGATAAAAGTGAAACGTTAGGAAAAAAAACAATAGCTGCAACACACTTTCAAAATTTACGCTTCTCATCAAAACTATCAAGACTAGCATTCCCACAAATCTGTTCTAAATGGTTATAAGTCAGTTGTAGGCGTGTCATGGGTGCAGCATGGTAAAAATCGGTAGTGTAAAACAAAGTATAAAGTCTACGAGACTTACGAGGAACGTGAAAATAAATGTGACTGAGTAGCTCTGGGGAATCAATTATAACATTTACAACCTTATACAAATATGTCAGTTCATGAATTGTTCTCCTGTTGTGTGACGACTCTAACTTCAAGAGTCCACAAATCCTCTCATAAATATAGAAATTATTCGGTTGAAAATAACGATCAGACAAAACACGAGCGAATCTACGTTGAACACTCTCAATTACACCTGAATTTGTCATTCCAACACAGTTCCACACTACTGAGGCATATTCAACACGACTACGCACCAGTGAAGACACGAGTATTAGGTTCACATTCTTTATACTGCGTCTGAGGCTTATTGTCTCCTTATTCAAATACTTATGTGAATCTGTCGTATAAGCCGAAGTCGCACACATAACGTGCGAATGTAGATTTTTTTTTTTTTAAAGTAGAGATTGCGTCATGGCGGATCGTATTCATTTCTGAAAGAATATATTAGATAGAGTATAAATTTTGTTTCAACCTAAAAGTTGAAACCTAACCATCTGATGTAATTAATGAATACCATATAAATACAAACGCAAAGCAGTAGGAGAAATTTCAATTTTTAGTGCAAAATTATACGTATCTTTTAAATGATGTTAAGAAGTCGCCAAAGTGCATCAGCTAGTTTTCTAGGTATTCAAGATATAAGTTAGCTGCCATAAAATCTTGGTATATATAACGTTAGGTGTTGTTAACTATTAGCTCTCAGAAGCAAATAAACAAAACGAATAAAAACCCGACCAGGTTCAGATATTTCGGGGCAGAGTTCGAAACGTATAAATTCACGGTAAGCAAGCGTGTGTGTCACTCTCTTCGAATGGATTAGGTATGCTTGTAATTAGACCGATAAATACGTCTGTCACTATATAGCACTATCAATATTTACAAATTATTACGTTGAAGTGCTTTCGCACTGAATATGAAGTCATTGGTGGCTTACCAACTCACCATACTACGGTTTACCGTTCTGCTGATTTTCTTCTCAATTTTATTTTTATTCCACACCTTAACAAAACCTTTATTAAGGAGTTCAGTCAAAAAGTGTACATGAATACAGCCGCGTCTTGATAATAGGGCACAGCTACTTTGTAGCTAAAATACAGAGACCAATTATTCGGGAACAGTTCCGCCCCATCAGTGTAGAAAAGGTCAGTCCGGAATTTGAGCAGCTAGTTTAGAAAGAAAATTGATAGCTGTGTGAATTTTATCTTGCTATAAAATACTTTTTTGTAAAGGTTTCTCTATAACATTTTTATTTTTGTATAAAATAGTGAACGCTACGCTTGATGCACTCTTTGCTTTTAAGTGCAATTTTTTTTCCGTGTTACTCACAACCATATATTTGCATTTCTTTTTAACCTGCTGAAAGTTGGTGTCCAGTCCCCAATGACGCGCCTACAGCTCCTTTCTGATAACCTTAGAAGTGATTTAGACTTATTTTCACCCCATCAAACCTTTTAAGCGAACCTTGTCGGCCGCCTGACAAGCAGCTTTGGCCTGTTGTTTGATGCAATTTTGTTTATTTACTTTTACCTTCCCAGAATTACGTCCTGATAGTTTGCTTTTTTGTATGCGCCTCTTTTTTGTTGATATTAGTATCTGCAGGATATTAAGGTCTCGAGCCGTTTGTGGGTGCATTAAGCGGAATAAGACCGATAAATTCAATTCAATAAACCATATATCTTTAAATACAAGAAAATATGAGCGAAGAGGGTGACAGAGCATACGCAGGGCTTCACTTGTGATTGTTCTTTTTTGCCACTATTAAAAAAGTGATGTCTTTATTTTGTTTATTCACACAGAAGTTTACATTGCCACTAAGTACTATAGCTGGTGGTGGGTAAAATAGGGTGCTTGAGTTTAATTCATATATGGCTATTAAAGAAAAAAAAAAGCATTGGAAGGTAGAAGAGTGCGATTTGTGCCGGTGAGTTATACGGCCAGTAGATATTTTATAAAGGGCTAATCGTCCCGATTAACAGAATAATTAACTCGAAATTGTCAATTAACTATTTAATTAGAGAAAAAAATTACCATAAAATACCGAGCATCCTGAACTCGCGAAATTTCTCATCTGCATGCGAGACATCAGGGCCAGCTTGCTAGAAAGAGCGTCTCAGCTGAAACTTGGGGAAGGAAAGCACTTCCAAAGTCAGCGCACGAGCTAAGCCGGACACAAATCCCGTCTCCCTCGCGCGCCCCAGGCTTTGCAGTGCTACCTCCCAAACTCAGCTGAAAATTTGGTTGGGAGGACCTTCCCCTCACTAATCCCTCCATGGTAGACTTTCGTTTTTAAATGTTTAGTTTTCGCTGACATAGCAAATATCGGGTAAACAAAATAGATCTCAGCGACGTTTCGGTCGTAACGTCCACTCTCAATAACCCCCTCCCCCCTCCTTCTCGCGCCAGCCAAATGCCTGCCTAACCCCCTCCCCCTTCTCCCTCTCCCCCATTGACCGACCCTCAAATCCGCCTCTTGTACGGAATGACCATGGCTGCCGTGTTATTCACTCTTTCTCGCGTGAGTTCAAACGTGGTGGCACTAGAGCTCAGATGGCTCCGAACCAGCTGCGGTTCTGAACCAGGCGGCGGGTTTCGCAGTATTCGCAAATAAAATCTACACTCTTTTATGTTTTTTACGAGAAATGGACGTTTATGCTTTTGTTAAATATAATTCACTCTCATGGGAAAACAATTATGCTAAAAAAAAAAAAAAAAGTTAAAATATACCCGAACCAGAAGTCTTTTAGGGCTGGCCAACAAATAGCGCCGCTGAGTTTGTTGCCAAACAAAAATGGGCAAACAGTGTCCGCGATAGCACCCTTAACGAATTTCTAGAAACAAATCTGTTCGGATGAAAATCAAGCACTATATATACATATAAAACACCGGAATAAAAATAGTGTACAAAAAAGTATTCACAAAAATATCACTGGATTAAAAAAAAATAATAATAATCGGACGGTTTTGTTTTTTGTTTGTTTGTTTTTTGTTTGCGTGTATGTCAAATGGGTCACTTGCCCCTTCCTCTTTAGTGTTGTTCACGTTCCTTGATTAAATACTTCAAAACACTCAATAGTCACTTTTACCACTTTTAGGATAAAGGCAGACGTAGTACATTAGTTTATTATAATGGCGGAACACCCTTTCCTTGCAACGGAAGCGTCCACAATAAAAAAATACATGGCTATATTAGTGCACTAAAGACATCCGCAACATCTTCTACTAGAAAAAAAAACAAATACTCTAATATATCCCGACTGTGCCCAACTTTACATAAACCATAAAGCTTACTACGTTTGTAGCGATAAATACAGTCCACATACGCATGAATATAATTTACTTCGGGTATAAGCAGCCAATGAACATTAGTTGATAAGATATGTTTTTTTTGTTTTTTTTTTCTAAGCTTCTGTAAATAGCAGATTGAAGGTTATACACAAGAGCGCTTTTACCGCTGTTCAGATCTTTGTTTATTATGATTACGCTAGACATATATGACGACGCGGTTGTAACAGTATAATATTTATTTGCCTAAGTGCATGCACAATTTAATTGAATGTTCAAACCTCAAGTCAGCTTTCTGTATCTATGCATGGCTAGTAAAATTGAAGGTTACTCTCATGTTCTCAGTTGAAAATGTGAACCTTACCAGTCCCTCAACAGCGTACAAGATTTTTATAAAACCTTTAGCAAAACCAGTATCGAAATCTTTAACACAGGCAGTCAGGTGTTTAGTCCTCGCCTGACTAATATTTAATCATGTGTTGCTTCTCCCAAACTGAACATTTGCTGCGAGTTCTATTTTACCGGTTTCGAGTTTAAATTGTTTTCTGTTATTTAAGCTTATTATTACCCAAGGTAATATGCATCATCCTAGCTAATTTCATTACCGACATAAAATACCGTATAGCGACATCATTGAGCGGGCATTAACGTCCTGAAATGTGTAATCAGTATACGCTGCATTAAAACTATGGCAATTTGGCTGTTTATAAGCACATAAAACTAACGGATGATGATGATGATGATGATGATGATGATGATGATGATGATGATAGCGATCATGACTACTTGTGTTCTTGTTTGTCGCGTAGCTTATGGTGCAGTTTGGCCCGACCGTAACTGCGGTAGAAGAGAGTTGGACAGCACGCGCAGGATTGTTGGCGGGAGGCCGGCAAAAGAGCGGGAATTTCCCTGGATAGTAAGCGACTGCATCAAATTTTCTTAAATAGTTTATCGGTTGAGGTCAGCCTGACCAGTTGTACAGTTTGTCGCAGTTTCGTTATTCGCGTGGATACGATTTGATTAAAAGTGCACATTACATACATATAATTTCAATTGAGATAATAGCGTAAAGTAACTGTTACATTCTGTTTTCTTAAGCTTTACAGATTTGTTTGTAAAAATTTGTTTTTGCAGGTGAGTTATACGGCCAGGGGGAAATGGTATATGGGGCTAATAGTAGCGATCGGTGGGGTAATTAAGCAGCATTTATAATTAACATTTTAATTAGTCAAAATGGGCATATGGGTCACATTAGAAACTTGCTGAGCGTTATACACGACCACTAAATCAATATTTTTTGGGAAATACTTTGAGCGAGTGGGAAGCGTAGTAGCGCTGTAAGGGTACCACTAATGCAGCCGGTGCAAGGCTGGGGCTCTAAAGTCGCATTCACACTGGAAGCGGATCCTCGTTCGCGAAACGGTTGCGGATGCGGTTCGCGAGCGACCCCGTTCAGACACACCGAGAGGCGGTTAGCGGTTTCTCGGCAATCACGCGTGATATTTTGAGACTTCCGTTTGACAACCCTGTTTTACAATCCAAGATCAATTTTAATCGACGATCCAAAGCCAAAATTATGCCATTTTGGCACTCTGAGATTTTTCTCCGGCACGCATCACGAGTTCCGGCAGCTCAGAGCTAGCAGAGCTCTGAGGCAGCGAAGAATGAAGCATGGACCCGACCAACTCGCCTGTGATTCCCTCGACTTCGCCCACAAGCAAAGCCCAGCTAGGCGCGCCTTGCTGACTCAGAACAGGATGCCCCCGACCTTTCCTTCGAAGTGGACCCTTCCCGCATGAATAGCTGACCTGCTTTTGGGGAAAGAGGGCCACTTTTCCCCCCTCGTTCGCTCTCATCATTTCGAAAGCTTTCAATAGTTCACGTGACTTTCTTAGGGGGTAGAAAAGCTGACATTTCGGTCAATCAGGGGCGGATTCCGACGTTCTACGGGCAGGGATTAACAAGGCAGCGAGCTTGGGCTTGTGGCACCCGGAATAATAAACAAACTCTTACGCAAACCAAATCACCGGTGCGAAGCCCGTTAAAATTACGAGTCAAATCTTTTCGCGGTGCACTCAAATGACGGACGTGAACATCAAGTTTCTCCGTTGATTTGTCGAAAGCTAAGACTACAGCGACAGGTACCATCTTGTTTCGAAAGTTACTGACGTCACTTCAGCGTCGCGTTGTGATTGGTTGCCGCTTTACGGTTCGTGAAAGAGGATTGGGAGAAATTGGTCCCGAAGCGGTTGGGCAAAAACGCGCTCCAACCGCTCGATCCTAGCCGCTTTGCGGTTGAGAACGCGCGGATCCGCTTCGCGTTTGCGGATCCGCTTCCAGTGTGAACGCGTCATAAGAGGAGGCGGAAATATCGCGCGGGCGTTTTATCGCACCGCTACCCTTGCTCCTGCTACACGAGTGGTAACTTTAGCGCACTACGGCGCTTCTTACGCGCTCAAAGACTTTCTGAAAATTTCTGATTTAGTGGTTTTCGATAACGCCCAGGAAGTTTCTAATAGGAACCGTACCTCTATTTCCACTAATTCAAAAGTTAATTAACAACTTTGACTTAATTAGCCGACTGATTTTTAGGATTAGCCCCCTATGCTATGTCCATCTGGCCGTATAAATCTCCTGCACATGCTGCATGAATGTGGCTTTCATTTTTTTTTTTTTATTAACGAATTTGTAAAGCTTAAAAGTAAAACCTGTAATAAACATTATTCTAGCTATTCGGAATATAAACTCCCGTTAAAAAGTACAGTATCTATTGGCATTTTGAGGATTCAAAACTTTGCAATGCGTTATTTCTTGTGATAATAACCGCTAGGCCAACAATTATCAAGATGCTATAATTCACAATGTGAAGCAAGTCGAGGACGATGCTTATATTACTTTTTGTCAAGGTAACTTGTAAAATGCGATAAACACACGAAAAGAAAACATTTCGAAACTACGTTGTTGATGCAATATCAACGCACAACCGAATGTACAAAACAAAAGAATGGAAATTATATTTTGAATTCGGCAGTATAAAACAATCCGGTTTTAATTTTGAAAAAAATGCATTTTGGGTAAATTTTGGAAACAATTTAGGGCGCAAATAGTCTTCGGAACTTTTTTTCAGGTCATGAACAGTTGAAGCGACGAAGGTCAGAACTGATATATTTTCTGTCGATAAGGGACATATAATGCTCTTTCACTTATATGCATCTTCAATTTGCTGATGTAGGATTTTTTGAGACAATATCCTAAGAACAAGTATTAGAATCAATAGATCTTAGAATGTTAAGAGAACAACAATCAAACTTGACAATGTTTGACAATCTTTAGTAAGCGATCTTCCCTGTGACCTTTTTTGAAATTTCAGATACTGTAGATATAAAGGCACAGTCAGCTCTTTCGAACTATTTTCAAAAAGACTATGATTAATGTTATTTTCTAAAAATATCTGCGGCCTATCACATTTATATCCTAATTTATTAATAAATAGCCTCTCTGGGGTGACTGCCGTCCAAGCCGCATCTTGCAGCAGCTTTTTGCGTGAGGCATGATGAAGGAGTAAAAAACGAAAACACTGACGTCTGTCCAGAGTAGCTGCTGTCGTGGGAAAAATGATTCACTCCATTGTTTTTTGTTTTTTCTGACAAAATAAAGGTGAAGTAAATTGGCTTCTGAGATCGTCTATTTATCATTATAACCCAATCGACACCCTCTAAGCATTCCCAAAAACGCAAGATAAGGTTGATACACGTCCGATTTTCCTTATAAAAGCCGGGATCGAAGATCGCTACATACCCGTTTTTTCTGCGATTTAGCGCAGAAGTCAGAGGGCGCTGTCGATCGTGGGACAGCCAATCGCGAACGATCGCTTCCCGTACAGAATCTTAATGCATACAGACACATTGATCAAAGCAATGCTCACTCTATATTTTTAGACCTAGTTGTTCCCATGGAAGTAATCGCTATAACAATGCTATTAAAAATAGTGGTTCAACTGACGCCAACAATAATCAGATTAACCCGGTGAAATATGTTATAGATGTTATTGCTCCCATGCTAACGCATATTTTAAATGTTGCTATTGCTACAAGTGTTTTCCCAAAAGGGATGCAATTGGCTAAAGTGTTAGTGCTGCATAAGAAGGGTGCGAAATATGACGTAGGAAAGTACTGCCCTATTTCGATACTTCCAGTCTTTTCAAAGGTTCTTGGCAAAGTGCTACATCATTTAACCAATATTCTGACAGGTGGGGTTTATTAAACTCAGCTCAATTTGGCTTTAGAAAAAAACTTTCAACTGAAGCGGCCCTCCTAGCACAAAAATAATATATTCTAGAGCAATTCGAAAATAGATAGCTAGTACTTAGTGTTTTCGTCAATTTCACTAAAGCTTTTGATAGCCTAAATCATAAAATACTCTTACAGAAACTCGAACATTATGAATTTCGAGGCGGCCCGTTAATGCTTCTGAACTCTTACCTTAAACATCGACAACAGTACGTATACCTAAACGGCTATTCATCTGCAACTAGAACTATCACGTCAGGTGTCCTTCAAGGAAGCATACTAGGTCCCTTTCTATTTAATATATATCGAAACGATATAGTGAACATAGATCAAACGGTTAAACCAGTCATTTATGAGGACGATACTAGCATAGTTTTTGCCGCTGACGAGCCAAATTTACTGATAGCCCACGCAAATATAGTGTTATCAAAACTAGAGTCTTGGGCACAGGCAAAGTCATTGCAAATAAACACAAATAAAACGAAAGCCATTCTTTTTCGTCCGAAAAATAAGGTTGTATCATGCAATGATATCCTCATCTCAAACACAACGCCCATTGAAATCGTTGGCAGCTTTAAGACCTTTGGAGTCATCTTTTCTGCGACCATGTCATGGGATAACCATGTACAATATGTAATATCTCAATTATCTTGCGTTGTCGGATTAGCAAACCGCAAACGCTCTATCTTACCAACTTCCGCCAAACTGATTATTTACAACTCTATTTTTTACTCTTATCTCGGCTATTGCCACCTTATCTGGGGCACGACCACAGCTGGAAAGTTATATAGAAAAGATATTCCTACTTCAAAAGAAAATAGTTAAAATTATCTGCAACGCCCCACATGACTTTCATACTGCCGGTTTTTTCAAAAAATACGCTGTCCTAACCATACATAACTTGTACTGTTACAGGCTGACTGCTGGTTTTAAAAGAGATCAAAAACTAAACTCACAATTCCTGACGACTCTCGTAATGTTAACTAGAAACGTTGTAACCTATGCTACACGGCACTATGAATATTGGAGGATGGTACCTCATAAAACTAACTATGGCCTGAAATGCTAGAATATACTTTACCAGATTTACTTAAGAGCTTTTTTAGTCGTGACTTTCAACTGGACTCGCTCTCCATTATTGAGACTGCCAGTTGCTATGTCCAATAACCTCAGAGTGTAACGGTTCTTGTGACAATCTGCCCTGCCAAAGCTGTTTTTGTAACAGCTTTTTTTTTTTTTTTTTTTTTTTTTTTTAGCTGTTATGTTTCTGCCACTGTAAAAGGTCGGGGACCCGTCAAGCTATTCTCACAGCTTTTTCCCCGGCCTACCCTTCATCATATGATGAAAATAATAAAGGCATTATTATTATTATTATTAGCTAGTTCAACATCTGTCGGGGCAGGAGCTATCCTTACCGGTATCTGTTCGGTGTTTCTCGGTCGTTTCAAGTTTTCTTTGTTCATGACTGTTTTCGAGGTTTTGCTTTATTTTTTCCAATTACAGGTATCAATTCAGTCGATACGAAAAAATCATTTTTGTGGTGGATCTATTATTTCGACAAACGTGATCCTGACAGCTGCGCACTGCCTCGAAAAGTGAGCATTGATGTTTCACCAGTACAGCGGGGATGATATTTAACCCTCCTATTATTTTGCACTGCAGTGTGAGACCCAGATGGATCAGAGTTCAGGCTGGATTTATACATCTTAAGAATCCGGGACCCCACAAACAAGTTCGATTTGTAAGCAGGAGAGCCGTCATTCTTTTCTATCAGCATGCACAACGGACGCTTATGAGACGAGTTTGCTTCATTACCTGCAGATAATGACCATCCAATGTTGCTAAACTAGCCTGAATATTATAACATTATGCTATAAGAATATGATAACAATAAAAAAAAGAATATACGTATTATTACCCGGCCCAGTTGTTTTCATCCAAGAGCATATGACATATCTAAGGCACGGACCATCTACGAATGCGGCACCACATCTGCAAAGTTTTTCTACCTGTGACAAAACAAAATCGAGTTTTTTTTTTAATTACGTAGTTACAAGTGAAAAAGTACATGGATCACAGAATGATTGAACAATCCTATTGAACAGGTATACTAGCGGTGTTTAGTTTTAGTAAAAGAAAATGTGTTCTACGTCGTCTTTTTTTTATTCTTCTAAAGCATCTTCGATTTGTTTTTTACCATTTTCTTGAACCACCTGAGACTGGGTGGAGACCTAGAAGAAGCGAAATTGGAAGGGACAGGAACAGAAAGACAGAAGGCGCCGACTAAAATTTTTGGTACGACCCCTTCTGTCTTTCTGTTCCTGTCCCTTCCACTTTAGGTTCACCTAGTTTTCCACCCAATCTCAGGTGGTTCAAGAAAATGGTAAATCTACACCAGCTGCCGTTCGCCATAGCAGTCTCGTCGTTATTCGATTTGTTGCTTATAAGTGCGTTTTTTTACCCCGTAAAGTTTGAATTTGCTCATTACCCTCGTAACGCCCTGTCCTAAGGCTTTCGATATATTACTGCATAAATGAATAGATAAAGAAATTGAGAAGCGCGCATGCAGCAGTTTGAGATTCCATGAACATCTCCTTGGGGCATGTTGTGTAGTCTTCACCAATAAATATACCGCCGAATACTTGTGGTCAGGGGCCAATTTTAACAAGGCTGATTTTTATGGCTTTTTGTAAAGCTTTAAGTCATAAACTAGAGCTGCGATTGATTAGAGCACGATGTTTTTACATTTCAGGCGACCGAGTTCATTTTGCACGAGGATTATGTCCCCCATGGCATCCATTTCAACAATGATGTTGCCCTCATCAGGCTGTCTCGCCCATTTAACTTGAAGGAGAGCCGCGGATATATTGGAACGATTTGCCTTCCTGAGTCGAGTTCCATAGCGACGAATATTGTGATCGCCGGATGGGGACACCTCTCATACCGTAAAAAAAAAATTGAGATATTTGATAAATTAAACAAATATTAAAGATTATCAAAATAGGTAAAGTGTTGACACTCCCCGATGATAAAAAAAAAAAAAGAAGTTGTGTCAACGGGTCCGATGTGACCCCTCATACTGTTGACCGTTTCATTCCTTGCCGTTTTTCCAATGTGTATGTCAGCATTGCGCACACGACAGATGTTGGAGCCAAGCGCGAGATGCGCTTTGTAATTCTTCTTTTTAAGATAGGGGAAGAACAACACCACATAAATTCAGCAGAGTCTGTTCGATCCGTATCGAGAAAACTGCACGAATAACAGTGCTACGCGGGAATCGTTTGGGAAGTTTCGGGAAGGTGCAAGACATTTTCATGATGAGAGTTGTAAGTGACGTTAGGTAGTCCTTTCCCGTCTCTTTTTTTTTTTTTCTTTTTTAAGTAACGCTAGGGAGGAAAAGGTTGTAGCGACTTATTTGAGGTCGGTGTTCGAAATTCGGTGCCACATCATCTTATGCCATATAGTGCCTCATCGTGTTGTTGAAGTACATAAACTAAACACAATTTCGGAATCCCCAGGTTCCACTCTCCGATCATGCTAGTTACTATAGCTGAATAGTAAATAGCTATTGAGCAAACGCCACCGTGAATATTATGCCAAAACTAACATGCAAATTGCTCCTGCTGTTCTGCGCGGTGACGTCATATGATTTTTTTTTGTTGTTGTTTTGCTGAACAGTCGAACAGACAGATTGAAAGCAAAATTTTGCGCGTTTTTACTTGTTTTAGGTCGTGGAGCTTCCCCAGAATTCATTTAACACCATCAAAGTTTTTGTAACCTTTCGATAACATGCTGTACTGTCCCCAAATTACATCTGACAGCGCGTTTTCACTGTTTGCAAAAGAGTTTGGCAGCCTCTCGGATAAGATTTAGAAATGCGCTAGCTTTTATAAAATTAGACTGAGTTCTAGTTTGTGTTGCTATAGTCCGTTGTAACTCAAGAAGGTAGGGCGAGAGAAAGGAAAGCCATGGAGGGGGCGGCAGACGGAACGCTTTAGAGAGAAGGAGAATTTTCCCTCTCCTCTCCAGTGTTCCGTCTGCTTCCTTCTCCCCGGCCTTCCTTTCCCTCGCCCTACCTTCTTGAGTTGCAGGGGACTAGAGTTCAGATGTGTCTAATAGTGAGTTGAGTTAGCCCTTGTGCCATACTCTTTTCTTGTAATCGCGATCTCTGCTCCCGTCGCTACAAAAGAGCTCTCGATTTTTTTTCCCCTCACAGGAGACAGAGCGTTTGTGCCGTGTATTAATGCATTTTTTTCTTGAGCAGGAGAGAACTATCGAAGAGAGAAGTTGTAAACTCTTCTTTCGGCCTTTGCTTCCAAATGTTTGTGCGTTTCAGGGTGTCGTCACAAAGTTTACCGGAAGGTACCACATAGGTTGTTAGAGACAGCACGGGAATGTAACTTAAGCATGCATTCTGTCACTTAAACACACACTTGACTTATATCTGAAACGTATCAACGCACTACATTATCATTCATTAGAAAACAACAAGAAATCTAGTGATGCAAAAAAGAGAAAAAAGTTTTCTCAACTAGCAAAAAAAAAAAACTGATCGTTTTTATAATTTTTTGCGGTGGCATAAAAACGAAATAGTTTCCATCGCTATACCTAACGTTTACTCAGCCCTTTCTTAAAATATGTTGATATATGTATTACTTTATTTCACATACCGTATTTTCCGCCTCCTGCTGACAATGAAGTGTCGTGGAGATATTTGAAAATTCGGGACATGAGTACGGTACAAATGAAGCAAATATTTACTTTTAACATATGGAATGCTTCATAATTGTAGTTACCACTTCCGGAAACGATTTTGTGTTACTTGCCCATGCGTCCCCGCATAGGCCATGGCTCGTGACGTAACGCTGCACCCTGACCTAACGAGACGTCAAGGTGCCACTTGAAACTGTGACGTAATCACTTCGTGTTACGACCGCTCGCGTGACGTCACGGTGTAACGTGAAATCAAAAGTCTTACCGTGACTTCACGCGACAATTGATGTCTTTACAACTAATTCAAACTATCGCTTCTCAAATACTGCGTTCCAAACAACATGGACATTTTGAGATAGTCGTTGAGGCCAATTTTTTGTTTGATATTAGCTAGTAGCATTTTACAATTACGATATATTTGTGGAGGACGTTATAGTCCTTAGTCCTTGGTATTGCTTATTTCTTATGGAACCATTATTAAAGGGAAGCTGAATCGGTTTTGAATTTGATTAAAAACACTTGATGCTTTTTATCCGACTCCAAGCATCGCGAATATCACAAAAAGTGCGTTTAATGTCGTTTTAAGGACGACTGATGATGATATTTAGATTCTCCAAAAAATACTACGCCAGACAGAAGCATTACCTCATTAAAAAATAAAATACCGTTTCAGCTTCATTTTAAGTGAAGAGTATACTGCATCTTTGTGTGTTCTTCAGGATACTACAATTTCATAATGACAATTTTAATGTCCCAGGTGTCTTGAGCATTTTTTAGCACCCGAAAGTTTTGTTTTATCTATATTTGAAAGATAATTGTATGTAGAAGCGTGTACCTGAACCAACCGATTTATTGAGATGTCCTCATTTTGCTTGTCTCAGATGGCCAGAGTGCTGAATCATTAATGACTGCAGAAGTTTTCATCCAGAGTTCTGAACTCTGCGCTGAATACGACGAAACCTATAGACATTCAATTATGTTCTGTGCCCACCGTCCGGGAACCGATGCGTGTTTGGTACATACAATTTAAATATTGATTCTTATTCTCTACTGTTAAACTTGCGTGTCATAGCACAGATATACGAAAGCAGGTGCTACATCCATAACACGAAATGTGCTTTTCGCTTGTGGTTGCAGAATCACTACCATTAATTTCTTTTTAGTTTTTAGGATCCTTAAAGAGGCAACCAATGTTTTTTTAAACATTTTTGCGAGTCGCGCGTTCGCGCCTCCATGTCGGTGTCACATGAAGGAATTTTCTCAAAAAGCGCGTCGGGTGTAAAGACATACATTTGATTAACCTTTGCGGTCACGATAGCTATAATGTTTTTTTTTCTCTTTTTTTATATAAAATTTCTATCACGCGTGAAGATGGGGGGGGGGGGGGGGGGGGTTCTGCCCAAACTTCATAGTATGGGAACGATTTCTGTCCGTTTCAGGAGTTGGCACACAGTGACCCATCTGGTGTGCTTATTTAAGTATTAGCTTCCGTGTTGACCTGGAAGCTCGTCTTATTGACATTGAAAACTTTAGCCCATCCAAATAAAAAAGAAACTTCAGATTTAGACTAATATTAGCACGAAATTTAATAAATATTGCAATCTCTAATTACGAAGGTTAGGTCAAGGTGTTTTATTACGCAAAGTGTTATAACCTTGTGGAAACAGGAAATCACTTCAAAGTTACACGTCTTACAGATTTAAAAAAAAAACTGAGAGCGGTAGGCTTTGTTGCAATGCATAAAAACTCATGTGATTGCACGTTGTGATAACTCTTTTATTAGGGCCTGTTGTGAGATGAACAAAGATTTATCGTTTACCGCTATTGCTACCCGAATTTGTGTAGTGAAATATGTACGTAATTGCCAAATGAGAAGTCAGTTTTATGTTACATCCCCCTTATATATTCATTAAACCTTACATGCCGTCGTTGCATTCGGATTGTCTGACATGTATTAAGTTTTTATTACCTGCTAAGTTTTATTTTCATTAATCCCTGCCTAGTAGAACAATTCAACGCTGCAAAAATATATTTCAAGTTCTAGATGTTTATTTCATTGATTCCAGGGTGATTCCGGTGGCCCCGTATCTCAGAACAAAGAAAATTTAACTTTCCAGGTTGGAATTGTTTCGTTCGGCAAAGGGTGTGCTGAAAGACCTGGATACTATGTCAGGTTGTCTTCCTTCACAAGCTGGATTGAAGATCACATGATTATGCTGGGATTTACAGTTAAATCAACGTAATCCAGGCCAAATAAATACAACGTTCAAAATTTTATGACCTGTTTATTTCACCAGCAATGGCGTTCTTTTCCATTTGTTTTAGTAATATTAAAACAGTATTTCCTTATATTAGGTTTAGTGACTACTCAAATGAAGCTTACTAGGATGGAAAGTTGGGCGAGTTGGTATGAATTCATTTTGAAAAACAGCGCGAATAACACACGGATAAGAAGGAGAGAACACACAGGACGAGGCGCTGAACATAGGAAAGAGTCCCTTGTAGTAGAAATGAAGCTTACTAGGATGGAAAGTTGGGCGAGTTGATATGAATCCATTGTGTGTTCTCTCCTTCTTGTCCGTGTGTTATTCGCGCTGTTTTTTCAAAATGGACTAGTCAAAGTTCTAGAAATGTTCTCGGCTACAAGTTTTGTTTTGGCTAGGGCGAGTCTTCCCAAATTTAATCTTTTGCACATGGCCCGTGCTTTCATGTGTAAAAGATTAAATTTGGGAGGACTCACCCTAGCCATTGACAAGAGCAAAACACTCAGTTTGAAACTGTTTTTTTCGGCCAAGTCACACAAGTTAAACCGTCCTCTGCGAGTAATTGTCTCGGAAAATGGTACCTGGCAGAAAGCCCTAGCAGTCTTCGTGCAATCCAAGTTAAATCTCCTGACTATTGATGACCCCTTTCGGGTTAGGAGCTCGGAAGATGTGATAGTTGCCTTGATAGCTCTTCCCAACAAGAGCGTCTTGGGTTACTCTGTTGACATTAGGGATCTATATTACTCGATCACCCACGATGAGTTGCTGTCTTGTATAGAAGATACGATAGATAAGCATGATGTGGTGGCATTTCAAAATGAGGCAGGAATCAGGGTAAGCAGTTTTCTTGAACTCCTGGCATTTTATCTAAGGTTCACGTTTGCCACGTGGGACGAAGGCACTTTTATTCAGAAGATAGTGTGTGTATCGGTTCCCGTATAGCACCGGTACTTAGCGACATTTTTCTAGCGGTCCTTGATCGGATCCTGGTTAGCAAACTTGAGGGTTCCAGGGTTGGAAGCATTTTTAGGTTTATGGACAATTTTTTAGTCCTCTTGGATTGCAGCTCAGATGTCTGAGGAGCTGGTGTCCATGACCCTGTCCACTTTTAGTGACTGTCTAGGGCCCCTGGTGATAACACATGAAGTGCCGGAGGGGGGTTCCATTAGGTTTTTAGACCTGAGGCTTGACTTCCGACCGGGGCATGCATGTTGGATTTATGAACCAAGGGGGAACAAGCCAATCCTGCCATTCGCGTCGGCGCACTCAAAGCTTGTGAAAAGGGGGATAATCAATCTCTGCTTCGGTAACGCTCTAAAGAAGTCGTGCATTCACAAGATCAACGAAAGTTTTAAAAATCAGGTGTCAAGACTCAAGTCCGCGGGGTACCCAGTCTACCTTTTATCAGCCGTAGCAGAGAACACCATCAAGACTTTAAAGAATAAGAATAGGCAGGGAACGAAAGTACAGAGAAAGAAAAAAGAGAAACCAGTGGTCATAACATACCTACATAAAGTGTCCCATAACCTGAAAAGAGTGGGCTTGCACGCGGGGGTTAACGTTGTTTTTTCAGCACTTGTCAAGTTGGCTACTTTATGTAAAAAGGTAAATTCTACCGCGAACACCATAAGCAGACCCGGCTGCACAAAAAAGGGCAAAACTTTCTTTGTTGAGTGTACAGAAGAGGTTGCGTACTCCGTGCCACTATCGTGCGGGCGTCATTATGTGGGGCAGACTGGTCGCTGCCTAAATGAAAGATTGAGGGAACACCGTTACAACGTTGATGCCGTCATATCAGGACACCTCGGTGTGCATTGCCGGGATTGTGGTTGTACTCCGATTTTCACAGATTGTACAGTACTAAACGAAAACAGGAACAAAACCACAAGGGAAATACTCAAGGCTCGAGAAATTGCTAGATTAGGGCTGCAATGTGTCAGCACACCCTCTTTATCGTTATCCGAAAAAGAATTGCAGTTTCTTGACCTAGCATGGCTAGTTTCGGGTGGGTGCCGGAGTGGTGCAGGAATTTTAGCCTTTTTATGTTGTTTTTCAAGATTTTTACGATGTGTATTTTGTATCTTCCTGACTTGTTTGTGTCGTTGCCGGTAATATATACCGAGCTGCAGGAGAAATAAAGTTCAGTTGTAAGTAGCGCTGTGTCTGTGTCTCCTTCTGTGTCCGCGCTTTTTAATCATTGTACCGCCACTCATTGGACAATCACCTCATCGAACGACGTTTCATCGACAATTGCGATGTTTCATAGACACCTCAGACTAGCTTTCCTATATTAGCTTCTCTTTTCTTTCTTCGTGTAATGAGCCGCCCCAAACTGTCGCCGCGAACTGACGTGTACGGATGGGAAAGGTCGGTTAACATTCTTGTACTGAGCCGCCGCACATGTCGCCACGAAGCGGCGGGTGGGCATGGGTCGGTGAGCACGCGCCTCAGAGCTACAGGCGCGACCAAATGTCCCTTCAGCGTGCATTTCGCGTAACGAGTGACGATGAAACGTTAGTGCCGATGAAACGTTAGTGTCGACGAAACGTGTCTGCAAGACCTGTATCCATGAAAAAGGTGTCCATGAAACGTCTGTTCACAAAACACCGGAAGAATAAGAAAAGTCAGTATTGTACCTGCAGTTGTGACATGATTTTAGTCAGCTAATCGCAGGCGACTGCCGGTAGAATTTCGGTGAAATTATTCTCCCGGCTGCTAGGAAATATACTGCCTGATTCTGGGGGTAATCTAGAAGGGTACAGGTAGATGAACGGTCATTCGTTGCCAAGGGGTAGGTTGCAGCGCACTTACGATGAAAATACGGGACTTGAAAGATGTAACCCGGGGCATATGCCAAAACGGGCACTGCAGAACAACCACACAAACACAAAAATGAGAGTAAAGGGGGTTCCGTGATGATTCAACACGATGTGGCAGAAGCTTTCGTTTGCCGAACCGAGCACTAAACGCATCACAAGAATTTCTTGAGCTTCTTCGAAAAAATTGTTTGTTGCCGATATACGCGTAGGACTTTTCGAGCATTCGAATCCTTCGTACACTTCGAGCACTTTTGGGGGGACGAAATCCACTTAAATTAAGGTAATTAAGTAACAGTTCATAATGTAGGTTATAAAAACGCAATCTCTCTAATTAACATGTAACTGAGGACACACTGGTGCTTACGTATTTATCCAAATACTCTCTGGCGAAATCAATGCCGCAGTAGGTCGTCGTGCTATCGAAAGTCCCTTCCGATGTCTCGATCCAATGTTGTTTTTTGTCTTTTTTTTTTTTTTTTTTGCCTTAGGTCACAGTAGAAAAGCTCCGTACATAACGATAGCTTTGAGCGCACCTTTGAAACAATAAATATTTTTGTGGGCGTTGTTACGAAGTCGAAGCAGTGTGCTTTAAGATGTGCCGTATCCCTGTTTACGTGTGTTTTTTTTTTTTCTTCTTTTTTTTAAGAATTTTTAGAAAAAATCAAATGTGACTTTTTGAAACACGATGAAAAACCTGACGCATTCTGGCGTATCTCTCAACCTACCAACGCGTTTGCAGCAGCAAAATAAGAATGACTTGCGCATAATGGCAACATAGGATAAAAAGTTTTGATCGCTCGTTTGTTTTAATCTCAGCTCTAGGTACGTTTCGCACGAAAAAAAAAATTGTACAAAATATATTTTGTGGAGGGTCGATAATAACTTCAAACATTGTTCTCACTGCAACTCACTGCGTTCACAGGTGAGCATGATTGTTCTGCCTGTTTGTGGATTTTTAGTGTGTAATAAAAGGTTTATTTATTTCAGAAAAAAATCTCGATGACTTGGTTGTTGAGGCAGGATTTGTGAACATGAGGAAGAAAGGTCCGTTTATTCAAGTACGAAATGTAAGCATACTTGCTCTACAACATCGTGTCCTTTAGTTTGGTCGATGGTTCCTCTATGTGACGCGGGGTCGGCATCAAAAATAGATGTGTTATAAAAAAGTTCAAAAATTTAACGCTAGATTTATAAGGTACCAAGAAGGCGCTGCGTTTTCTTTTGTAGAGTGCTTGCCTAGAAAAATACAATTTTTTATGGGTTAGATACATTTTTATGTGGTCAAAATACTTTGATGAAGTTATAATCAAAATGGTAAAATGATAATGGAACGCATTTTCGAAATTAGGAACAAGCATAGTTATCCACAATTCTATGTCATATTCCTCCAATGGAGATCAATCGTTGCTTATCCTTCGCAGAACCCCAACGAATCATTATAAAAATGACCCCATCTCCACGTGGTGAATCATGTTGATTGGGGCGAAGCTCTGGTGGTAATGATGATACTGATTTTTTTAGCATTTGACCGCAGCGCCCTCTCGTCTATAAACGATGAGCCAATGCCTGCAAAGTTTAACGGGATTATATACGCATTTGACCGCAGCGCCTTCTCCTGTATAGATGTTGAGCGGCTACATGCAACGTTTCATCCATGACATCCCCAGCTCTTGAGTTACTACCACAACTCAGAGCCCCCTACTCGTCCCGCAGTCGTGGCCGAGTGGTTAAGGCGATGGACTAGAAGTTTATTGGGGTCTCCCCGCACAAGTTCGAATCCTGTCGACTGCGCAAACATTTTTCTTTTCTTTTTTTAAGAAGACAGATGGGAGTGCAATCGATGTGAGCACGGACGCCGGACGGACAAGGCTAGACCCTAAGGAGCTTCGCCCCTAAAAAATCTTCAGTCAAATGTGGATGGAGAGTTATGAAACTGACGTATTGCTAAGAATATAAAACCTCTCAGTCACATAATTTTATACCTGGCTCGATATCGAAAAGACGATAAATGTTTTATATCCACATAAATGAATCAAATAGAGGGAAGTTACAGATTCCCAATAGGATTTTTTCTCTCAGGATATATTGACCTGACTTTACCACCCAGAAAATATTCACGAAAATTACGATTGTTCGGACATAAAGATATGTTATTCATCAGTAACACGAGGTTAACAATCATTAAGGGGGGATAAACTCTTGCGTCTAAAAAAGTCAAATTTGAGGGTTTTACGTGCCAAACCAACGGCGGGCATCTGGCACGACCCAGCGGAGGACTGAAGATTAATTTCGACCACCTGGGGATCTTTTGACGTGCAACCGAAAGCTCGGTTACACGGCGCCCTCTCCGCAATAAGCCTCCGTCAGATTGCGGGCACCTCGGCCGGGCTCTTGCGTCAACTCCGCGCAAAAATATAGAGAGTGTTTTGTTAATGATAGATGAGTAATAAAATAAGCGAATTCGATATCAAGTAACTCTTCTTTTTTGCTCAATGTTATGAATCCCCGCGGACGTCAGTTTAAAAATATGCTTACAGTTACAACTAGCAAAATATCTGACGAAATGTATTAATAAACTTTCGAATTATTGTCGCGGACGTTAAAAGGTGCATGGGTATCGCACGCGACTGCAGCGCCGAGGAACGGCTGTCGAACCCCACTCGGCCCGGACGTCTCTTTTGTAATTCTGTAATCTTCTTGGAGGTTTCAGCCCATTCACGGTTCTCATCCATTGTTCCGTATCGGGGTTCCTGATGGGACCCCGCGTACCGGGGCTGTTGCCCTACCGTAGCCGACGAAAAATACATCACATGTTTCTATACGTGGCTTGCACATGACGTCACTTCCGATGAACTCCAGAGAAAAGGGGAAGGAGGAGCTCCCCTCTTCTCAGGATCCTCTTTTGTGCCTCCCGGATTTGCACAGGAGTCGCTATTCTCCTCCCAGAAGATTATGCAAGTTAACGTGTCACTCAAAATTCTTACCAAAGGCCAGCTTCTCTCTCCTCCTCTTACATGGTGTTCAAAAGTATGGGATGTGACGTCAGCGCTAGGAGCCTGTACACGTTTGTATTCAGGAGCTCGCTTAACTAAACCTTATTTTAAGTTCTATCTTGGTCCACCATTTTCCATTCGTGTCAATATTTACCTCAACTTGGCCATTTCAAACGGTTTGCCTGTTGTTAAATAGGCCATAGTTTGTTACATTTCAAGAAATAAATTTTCTGTAAAACAAAATGCGCCCCTCCCCTTCTTTTTTCTGACTTGTCATAAGTACAAAACAAAATACACATTCAAAGTCAATATTTTATAGATTTTTTTTTTTTTTTCTGGTTGTGAACATTATAAATAAAGGAAGGAGAGTCACTAACCAAATTCTAAAAATAGGAACCCTAAGTTCCGAAGTTTACCCGGCTCTTCTTCAGGAGCGGCTATGGCGATGGAGCGGTATTCTTCGAAGTTCCTCTTTCAGGCGATATTGCGGAATTAGTTGACATAGACTCTTGGCAAATCGCCAAGGTGCCTATTTGTGTTTTTTGGTGTCGGTTTAATGTGCCTGGATTAAATGTAAGGCACATGCGGGGGGTTAGTTTTCACGTCGATGGTGCTGGAATCAGGTGGTCTCTGACGTCGTAATGCTCAGCGACTGCCCTGCGCTCCGGGTCGAACTTGCGCACGTCGTTTTTTGTTGGCGGATTTTTTTATTCTAGTTCTTCGTCTCCTCGGTGTAGTTGGCTGGGCTATAAGTGCAAGGTATGTTTTCAACCACGCCTTGCGTTTTTGTTTTTCGGAGGACGATCTTTCGAACCGGGCATGAGCCGTCCAAGCGCGGAAATCGGCTTGTGGAAATCGGCTAGTGTACGCAGGTACGCGAGGTTGAGCGAGGCTGCGTAGCTGCTTGTGGTTGCTGGTGACGGGCAATCTCGGGCTTGGCGACGGTCAACGTGGTGGACGAAGGTGATCATGTACCTGTTCTTTTTTTAGATCAGCATAGACGGATTGCTCTTCCATTGTTCTGTCCGTTTCAGACGGGCTCCTAAACAACTAAAAGTACCCTGGCCACCGAAGTTGTGTTACAGGCCGGGTGATTGGAATCAAGCTGGAGATACCGTCCAATGTGCGTAGGTTTGCTGTACATAGAAACTTTAATTCTTCATGTTGCCTTTCTCCGAGTACGTCAGGAAAGGGTAAGGTACAACCGCAGGCGATATGAAGGTGAACGCCGGAACGTCGACCGGTCCGTGCTATCAGCGCCATGACGCGGCTGCCGTGGCGGCCGAGAGCAAGTGCCTGGATCGAGCGCTGTTCGCAGCTCTGCTGCTACTCCCCGCAGAAAGCGCGAGGATTGGGGAAGGAGCCTTTTAGAATGTGATTTAGTAGCTTTTTGTTGTGATATGCGCTAAACCGGAAGGCTGCGGAACAAATTAAAAAGTAACTTATACTTTCCGCTTCTTGAAAAGAAGAACACGAATTTGTTTCATTTGTGTGATGTGTCAACAACCGCGTCGCACTTGCGCCGATGTTATATTAGCCACATTACAAAGAAGACATTATTATTAATCTTTTTTTTCGATGCTTAACACTTTGCAGTGCATGCCAAAATAATTTGTTAGAAGTTAGGGCTCTGCTGGAACGTGCATGCAAGCAAGCTCCCTCCCCCCCCCCAATTAATTATATATGATTTGCGATATATGATTCACGTTATAGTGAAAGCTATCATGGTGCGATTATTGTTTTTTTTTTTTTAAACATGTGTGCATTAAAACACGAGTACACGTCGATCGCGAACGCCATTGAACATATATGGGCAGCTCGGTTAGGCAAAACATGAGGCAGGAACCACGTCCCCTTTTTTCTTCATTCTTGTCAGTTCCGGTTTCACGTCCGATAATCTTTGTCGGACTTGAGCGGGGCCTTAATTTTAAGTGTTCACGGCTGTGAGCACTCCGTTGACGTAAAGTTCGAGAACTTTGCTTGCACCCAAGGTTTAAGCCGTGTCGCCATGTTTTGCCTTCGAAAACTCTCCTTGCCCCACAGCGTTGCTCTATTTGTGCTGCCATTAGAGTAGATTTGGAACATAGCCATGGTTAATATTGCATAATAGCAATCGTACAGATTTTTTTCCTTCGTTATTGATATGCAACTCGCCAGAACAGCAGAACTCGGTGGCCGATATATGACACAAGGACATCTACGCGCGAAACACCTTCAAAGTCTTTGCCACGGCGTCGATTCTTGATCGGTACCCGAGCGTGCGAAGGCACAGCGACGCAGCACTCGGCGGGGGCATGCCCAAGGAAGCTTTTTGATGATGCTGCGAGAACGCGAAAGTTGCTTTCAACAAGTTGTGCCCTTTTCCCGCGGCACTACACATTCGTAAAAAAAAAACCCACGTGTTATTAAAAGAAAAAATATATATCGCATCATTTACTAATTGTTATTTGAAAAAGATTATTCGCCGAATGACGAGGAACGAGTAGAAAACGTGTTTTCAGAACTCTGCCGCCAGCCTCTGCAACGCTCCAAAAAGTCGATTTTGATACATGCAAGATGGCCGTCCGGTGCCCACACTCGCGGATGGAGAAGTGGTAGGTACCAAGGACGTTTGGTAGGTACAGTTCTTGTACGTCCTTGAATCCAGATAAAGCAGAAAAAATATAAATATCCACTTTTCTAAAAATGCGCGAGCAGGTGGTCTGGATCGAAAAGTTTAACTTTCATCGTATTCTATGTGAGAACCCACGATCCAAGACGATCCAAAACTCTAGCCATATTTGTAATGGCGGCGCCCATGCTGTTTTTTGGATAGACTTTCGACATATCATTTTCGGCGCTTTGTGGGCACGTTCTTCGAGTTTTCTCCTCGCTAGTTTTTGCAACTAAGGTCAAGCACGCCAAGAAGCGACATGTTTTGTCTTCACAGTTTTTCCGCGCTACTGCGGCGGTGTCAACGAGCGCGTTTTGGTGGCAGAAACGTGTGGACTACTTGGGCGGCGCGTACGACGAAGTCGACCCACGGACCGCCGGCCCGGACTCTACCGTACGAGGTGGATTCGAACGTCGCCAAGAACACGGAACTCTACCGTTACGACAACTTTAGAGTCTTCGGGGCGCTGAGGATATTCAGCGTATCACAGGTGTTCCTGTGGACGTATCTGGCCCATGCCTCGAAAACTCTCTTCGACGATCCGAACCTGGTCTCGAAGGTCCGCAGCGACGGCGAAAAGAGAACGTTCGCGCAGACTATCGCGGAGAAACTGACGGTGGACAAGTACCGTTACGGCCTGGTGGCGTTTTGTCTGCTCTTTGGTGAGTTTGAGAGTGTCCGAGCGACGTGTCGAGAACGCACTACTCGGATGAACTTACCATTTCCAGGAGGTTATGGTACAAAAATGCACGAGCACGCGGTCGAGCGCTTCTCTCCACATTGCTTCATCCTGGGCATACTGGCAATCCTCTGTTTTACGCCAGGTGACGTCGGTTATTTTGAAAAATGGAGGATATCTTATGGAACAGTTTAATTATGCTTAGAATTTATTTGCTCCGAAAGTAGTAAATGGCAGTTACAAGTTCATTACAATTACACGGGGTCAGTTTTACTAATTTACTATATCACTAAGGTCAGGCTGGTGTTGTTTCTTTGTGGCATTTTAAATACTCAGTGATATAATATCAGCACCAAAAGAACCTCATGGAAACTTGCATGTTCGCTTTCTTGCAGGACATCTGTGATTTAAGGAGGAAAACGTAAATAAATGAACCTGCACCGTCACACTGAGCATGGCGTGGCATGCGAGACCCCAAGCTCTGTGCTGCAACAGCCATGGTCTCGTACTTTTAGTTCACGCAGACAATCTTGTAACCTCATTCCCACTAAAAACACATACCCTTATCGTTTCTCAAACTTCCTGCGTGGTGGTTCGCTCTCTGCATCCGTTGCAATTGACTGGACTTGCGAGTGCATTGTCAAGGGTGCAATATTTAAAAGCGAAATTGTGCTCTTATCTCGCAAGTTGTCTTTGGCACTTGCGAGATGAAGTACGGTATACGGACGTGCGACGTGTAGCTTCGTCTTTAGGTGATGCAAGCTACCACCCACCAACTCCAGGGCCACTTGTATCCAAATCCGTCTCAAACATCTGCCGCTTTTAGGCGCTGCCGTTCCCTGGAATGGTCTGGAACCCCTGAATGAAATTCGCGTTTGGCTTTTCTTGCAAGTATCGCCAACCGTTCTTGCGGGAACGTGGAGGGCATGCACCACGAGCAAGCGCTCCACTGCCATTTGTTTCCAAGGGCCGCTCATTTTAGAGCTGTGCTGTCATTTGCTCCCAACGGCCGCACGGGCCTTGTGCATTGGCACATTCGATGCTGCTTGTCAAATGCAAACACATCGAGGGGCTTTAGAACGGTTCAAAATGCAGTGTACAACTTGCAAAATATCTGGCACTTCAAAAGGGTTTATTTTTATGAGCTAATACCTCGCCACATTTCCACTGCCTTGACGCGGCTTTGCCCCCTTTTTTACGCAGCAAATGGGGTTGTGGCAGCCGCCTCGCTCTACATGCTCAGGAGCGTGCGCTCCGTCGTGCTTCTCAAGGGGGGCCAGAGCGTCTACATCCAGACGTACGCCCCCTTCAGGAACCTGAGGGGATTCCAAGTCCCGTTGGACCATCTGAGCTGCCTGCACTCGCGCGGACAGAAGAGCGCCTACATCTCGCTCAAGGTCAAGGGTCACTGGTTCTACTTCATGCTCGACCAGAAGGGCCTCTTTCCACACCCGAGCCTCTTCGACCAGACGGTGGGCTTGAGCAGGAGTCTCAAGTGAACGGCGACTTCCGCGAGAGCCAAACTATGCTCCACCTCACCGTAACTTGGCAAACGGTAAGGGCTACAGTCCCGCTGAGCCAATCCGCATGCCAGAGGGAGACCCATAACAGGTTAGGAGTAGAGGGTAAGCTCCTCCCACTTTAGCAGAGCAAACGCTGGAGAGAAGGCGACCTCCTCCCCAGCTTTTGTACGAGGTTTGAGTAGTACGACAGTCTCGGAGAGATACAAAACCTGCATACGGGACGCACGAGAGGGTCCGGGTTCGACTCTCCCCCCTTTTCCAACTGCTTAGATTATGCTTCCCCCCCCCCCCCCCCCCCCCCCCTGTACATTCTCCTCCGTTGCTCAGATTGGCTCGAGGGTACGGTAGCATTCACTCTTTGCCAAGTTACCACGAAGTGAAGTGTGGGCAATGTAAAATGTGCTGGACTGTTAACAGCCCAGCAGTTGCCGCCAAGCATAGCTACAAGAAACACTTAGTTTTACGGTGACAGCCATTGTTGGTGATGTTTCATGGCAAAAGCCAGGTGTGTTTAGTTCAAGTCGTGGCATGGCATCAAGGTGTAGTGACGCGATGTCACGAAATAATTTAGCGGCCAGATTTTATCACTCGTCACTGTCATGGCGACACATCACGCGACACTGTGACGTGACCTCGTCACGTGGTGTTGAACGAGCTGCTCGGGTGCTCACATTAGCATTGCAATCGGGCAAACTCAAGTTTCTTTAACATTTTGAGGAAGAGTAAAGCAAAATAAAAATATTTAAACTATATCTCATTGCTTTAGTTGTTTGTGACTTCACTGTTGTACCATTACTATTTGTCAAATCTGAAAAATACAGGCCAGGAACCCATACACCAAAAAGACTTCAATTCCTTAGATATACCGTCAACAAGAAACAAATACTAATGCAAGTGTCAACCAATGGCATCATGCTGTTGGCAGTTGAAATAAGAAATTCTTTGTTACTTTATGAGTTGTGCAAGTTTATGAACAGTACTGTTGATGCAAGATTAATTGTAAATGTAACAGAACTAACATTTTGGAATCCTAAAGCTGAAAAGGCCTGTCATTTAGGAAGACTATTAACTCCTTTGTACTAACCCACTCTCCACACAGAACGAAACAGCAAATCACAGAAAAGTTTCAAACGAGCATCGCAAAATTATTGGGAAACCTTAAATGGACAACCAGAGCCACTGAACAAGCTACGTTTAAGTGCCGACACCCCACAGCTGTGTTGTGGGTGCTGCCATTTTGTCGCCTAGCCCTAGCGCAGAGCCGGTGCAATCGGCAATCGTTACGACTCAAATACCGTAGATATGATTCCGCTCCATCGCAGAATGGCTCGACGTTTCTGGAGGACGGTAAAGCTTCTCTCCCAATTTCAGAGACAAAGCTTTCGAAAACTGGGAACAATGATTTTAGGCGACAAGACGGCCAAAGGTTTCATTAGACCGAAGCTTAGCTCGTATGGTGACTCCACACTCGGTGCGAACCATTTCGAGTTTTGCTGCCCAGGCTAGCGTGGCTTCCGCGTTACTCGAACACTGTTAAAGATATTTGTGCACGCGAATGGCACGCAAGGCGCTGCCATGAGGGGCCGCGGCACCGAAGAAGCAACGCTAGCCCCAACAACGCGGCACGAAAAAGTCGACGCAGAGCATGGAAGACGCCAGTAATCGAAGGGACCCGCATGAAGGACGACGACGATGACGACAACCGTGAATGTGCACCCTCTTACACTTCTCTATTTATTGAAATAGACTTTCTCGTCTCAAAAAAACGGATGGGGGAAAAAAAGAAGAGGAAAACAAACTTTCTCTCTATCTAAAAATACAAAGTACACACTTTTCATTCCTCGCCGCGTCAAATGTGGTTTGGCAATTGGCGTTGGCCGTCGCAACACGTAAAACTGCGGCGCCAAAAATTCCGAGTGAGGAAAGAAAAAAAAAAAAAGAAGCAAAACCGCACGAGCAGAGTTTTTCTTTCGCTCTTAGAAAAAGGTGCACGCAACTTTCTTTCAACAAGAGTATAGAGACCTATTTACACAAGTTATACAGAAAAATAGGGAGGGGGCGGGAGAGGTTCTGCCTCTCGGAACTCTGTCCGCCGAAACCCCCTCCCTGCGTCGTCGTCAACAAACGCGTCAAACACAACAACACGGTGGTGCGCCACGTGTGAAACGCATACCTCCCCGGCAAGAAATGTGCCCGCCCACAGAAAGTGGCTAACAACCTTTCTTCCCGCACGCTTCCTCCATCAAGTTGTACCGTAAAAAAAAAGAAAAAGACAAATGAAATTCTTGTTTTGCAAAGTACACAGGGTGCTTAAAACATATGTATTGCTTCACAACATTATTTTTCTTTTCTTAAAAACAGATCTATCCAAACGCGCCACCGGAAAGCAGGCGACCCAAACACCCGTACGACAGGACACTCTCTAAACATCAACAAAGCAAAAAAAAAATGGAATTGCGGAAAACGGTTAGGTTCCATGCATAGGGATGCCCTACAAATTACCCATGGGGCATAGAACGCAAATGTCACCATTGTCATTAAAAAAAAAGACTGGAAAATAAAGGACACTACTGTTCAGGTTAGAAATTATGTTTGCGACGAAAGCTATTCGTTTCATCGCAAGATGCAACAGAGACGTGGGACCCTTCGCACAACAACCGTGATTGCTTCAGTGTTATTGCTAGCTAGTGACACCAACACCTGCCCTCTCCAAATGCCACCGGTGCGAAACACACGTGTCGAGCGCAAGAGAACAACGGAGGGTGCCGGCTTTCGAAAACGACAGAATTACCTTTTGAGCGCTCCGTCCTAAAGACGCCCGTCGTTGTGGGGAAACTTCCGGACACCAAACGTGTCCAGGTCTGTAGACGGGGGGGGGTGGTGACCAAGGGTGGCGAGGGGGAAGGGGGAATAAAACTCCAAAGCGGTTATTGCATAGTGTCGTCTCTCCAAAACACGTTTGCTCGACGGGAAAGTCCTATTTACAGTAAACGTCGGCGAAGACCGTTTGCCTTCTTTCGATGCTGCAAAGATCCGCAAGGGTGCGACGCGCATAGTTACGGTATGTTACAGACGGGCGATTCCGTGGCCCCTAAGGATGGGTGTGTGTGGGGGGGGGGGGAGGGAAGCACTGGTACTGGGGTTTGACTATGTTCCCGTTATTGCAGATTTCGCTGTAGTTTGCTTTTGGCACAGGTTTCTTCTCGCGGAGCCCAAGACGCCGGCGTTTCGAAGAGAAAACGTTTATACACTGGGAAAAAATGCGTGCCGGCTTCTAGGACTGAGGTACGTACAGGTCGTCGTGCGCCACGACAAATGGTCAACTAGTCTGCACAAACTCGTGAAGGTCGACGGGGTACCAGTTTTGGCAGGCCATACTTTTTCTTTTTTTCTTTTTTTTCCATGGGGCAGTTTCAATACTGTGTTGCGACAGCTCGCATTGCTTGAGCACAGAGTGCCGCTTGTTTTAGGTATAGATGTTTCGTGTTTCGCTCCGCAACTATGACCCCCACCAGAGTGGAAGCAAAATTACACCGTACGATGGAACCGTCGGTAGAAATGGCGACAACTCGTGGTAGTGACGGCACTCGCACGACACGCCTCATCTCACTACAAAGGCAAGGTTTTAGCGAGATTGCGTCTTCGCCGGAAACGTTAAAACACCAAACGGTAAGTGAAAGCCTCCAAGGAGATTTGCACAAAAAACGATACACTACTGCAGCGATGCTCGAACCTTACGATCTCGAGGAACCCCCGTCTTTTGAACGACAGTCTCGACACCGAAGCGCAATAAAGCAAGTAAGAAGCCTTCGACCTCGTAAAAAGGTAACGTGCACAGTAGGGGGCATTTAGCTCGTAACTGTCCATCAATGGGCGACTTGGATCTACTAAAACATTTTCTCAAATTGGGGAAACAGTACTTGGAGATCCCATGCACTACTGTAGTAACCACACATTTCGTCTCATCTCCTGGATAGTTGAGTCGGCATGAAGCCACCGGGCCTTCATCTTACCAGTTTCGTACTCTGTGCCGAACTGACGAAGGGCATCTAGACTATCGCCGGTGTCTGGCATAGCAATTCTACAGCACGTGATGTGCTGCGTTTTGGTACTCGCACGACAGAGGTCTTGCGGCTCCGTGTCCACGATGACAACCAAAGCACCCCCTAGGAGATACGCAACGGGTGTTGTGGCGCCAACGGTAAAACATAAGCGTGCCCATAGTCTGACAATCTCAAGGTCATGAGACCTGCCTGAAAAAGAAAAAAAAAACTAACTTTAAGGCAGTGTATCTTTAACACCGCGCAGGCATTCTCAGCAACTTTTGTCGACAGTCTGGGAACTGAACAAATGCTCCTACTACAACATGTATTTAGAAGTATCGCCAGCTTTGTCCGGAAAAGAATAACATTTCTACGGGTGTTACTGTGCAAAAAAGAAAAGATTCACAAAGCGCAATTACTTTTGTTAAAACATGGGGCAGCCTTTCTGCATAGAGATACACTCTGTTTCATTCTCACATGTACTTCCAAACATAGAGCAAGAGGAATAACATTCTACACAGATCTCTGCAAGACAAAAAAGCCGATTGTTCCTAACTTTCCGTCTGCTAATACCCACCATAAGCGGAAGCATTATCAAAAAAAAAAAATAGAGGTTAGCTTGCCACGTGCTAAAAAGGAAACCAGAATGGGTGCCGTTGAGACGAAATGCGTCGAAAAGCTTGTCGTCGCTGCCTGCACTGCCTTGTAGTGGTACACATGTACATCTCCTCTCCTCCAAACTGTTGTCTTTACAAAGTATATGCATATTAGAGGGACACGTGTCGTATGTATATATATATATATATTTATATAGCTTGTCTGCAGTATTTATATGCCAAGTCGTGTCTGTATATATTATATTACAGCGCCGGGGCTTCTCTGTGTCGTCTGCAACTGGTCCTCGGCTCGCGAGACGAGACAGATGTGAGCATTTTTCGTTGGGGGACTTCTACAACTCCACTATCAACCTAAAAAAAAGAACCGGCAGGATTGATTTGTTTTCTTACCGCGGTGCCTCTGCCAACAGCGAGTACTGGTGTTGCGGAACCACGGTACCGTCTCGGAAACGCTCGACTGCGGCAAAATCGTTTAATCTCGTTGCACTGCCTCGCCAGTTCTCTTTCGTCTCAACGTATTACACCATGCTTTCACATTCCCTCGTTTTTCGAGGGTCGTTTAAGCCCACAAAAGTGCCTTCCGGAGTTATTGCAATCGTATCCAAACAGCAAAAAAAAAAAAAATTCCTTTCGCTACTTTGTTGTCTCTAGATGTCGTCGTCTGTGCCTTTCCTCGAGAAAATTGCGAGGGGGCAAAGATTGTCGAGGAAAACAAACAACCGCCGAACGGGAGGATGAGAACACGGAGACAAACGAGATGGTAACTAAGGGCGAAGTGGAAAAGAGGCTAAAAGGGAACTGCCGAAACAAACGGCTTACGACTGTCACTGTTCCGCGGTCTTTCGCTTTGCGAAACGTAATGACCAAGCAATGCTGCGAGGATCACGGCCCTCGCAACACTGCCTCGACTTAAAGCAGGAACGTGCACGTGAAAAATAGAGAGCAACCGTTCGGCCCGACACATTTTCTCGTCGTTTCCTTCAAGTCGCGGGCAGTGACACCGACAAAACTTCGGCACAAGCTTCCAAAGCACGCCGGCGGGAAAAAGGCAATGCCCGACAGCCCGGCGCCACGCATGCCAGAACAAGTCGGGAAACTTATCAAAAGGGTGCCAAACCAACGAACAGCACAGGGTGCGTCACGAGCCTACCCGTCACCAAAAAAAAAAAAAAAAAAAAAAAACAAACAAAAAAACACAGGACATTGACACATTTCTTTTTCTCGGACACCCTTCTCCCACGTTTCTCTTCACCTTCGCAAGACACAGGAGCAGTCCTTGCCTTTTTCCCCCGACGGGGAAGGAGGAGAGAGAGGAGGCGGAGGGAGGACGCGGGGGTGCGACTCACCGCGCTTGCTGCCTCCCGCTCACGAGCAGCAACGCCTGTTGCTGGTTCGTCGCCACCTTGGCGAGGTTGAGCAGGGCGTGCGCGCCCTCCGCCATCTCCTCCGCCTCCCCCCTCCTCCCCGGCCCTCCCACAGAGAGAGAGGCTCCCTTCGCAGACGCGTTCCGCCGCCACTCCCCCCTCTTAGACTTGCGCTGTGGAGCCGCCGCCGCCATCGCTGCCGCCTTCCGCTTTCTTGGCGGCACCGACGACGCGGGAAGGCTTGCCAACCTCCGAACCCCGACGCTCCTGTTGTTGTTGGCGTCGTCGTCGTACTCGTCGTCGTAGCTCGCGGGCTCCGTCTTGACCACGACGGGCGGCGCGCCGTTGTTGGCGGAGGGGAAGGCGTCGTTGCCGTTGGCGAGAGACGCGCTATACGTGTGGTCCTCGCTCGGACTGCTGGTGATGATGGTCGGCGTGGGGCCGGCGGGGGAGTGGCCCCCGTTGCCGAGCCGGTGGTGAGGCGGCGATCCGACGGCCTCCGGACCACCGCTATGGCTGGAGTTTGTCGAAGCAGAGCCGCTGCTCCTGCAAAGAAAAGAGCAGAGGCACCATCAATTTCCGATCCGACTCGCCCATCGCAAGATTCGATCGTTTCGAATTCAACAGACCCTTCTCGAAATTTTGAAATGACGCATAGATTATGCGCGGCCGCCATTGGTTGGTATCGCACCTCGAGCACGTATTGGACACGAGCGCTTCGTCGGCATTCAAAGCGTACTCGGATCAAAACGCACTCCACACGAGTGCTGCGTCAGCGATCGGTGCAAACACAAAACTAATCACAAGCTTCGGCGCCGGAAGCGACGAGACCAACTTGTGGCGGCTGCGCATAATCTATGCATCGTTTCATAATTTCCGAAAGAACCTATTGGGTAAGGATATGGTACAGTGCCTGAAACACGTCTATGACTGGTGCATCTACCGCATCCCAAAAAATGGTTCTTTGATTTCTGCCCTACCCGTCATAAAAGCGTCACGCTGTCGCCAACCGCAATAATACTTGCACTCAATTGTGCTTTTTTGTCATTTCATAACTTCTACGCCCAAATGCCAGGACCCCTACGTAAGGCGGTAGTCGCTTGTTGCCACTTCGAGATCGCTTTTGACGCGGAATCCCCATCTGCCTCGATTAGAAGCGCAATAAATAAATTTATCATCACCGCCCCCCCCCCCCCCCCCCCCCCCCTCCCCTCCCCCTGGTTGGGAGGGCAATAAATAAAGGACGATGGCCAACGAAGTCCTAAAAATATGGGGACCCTACATTTTGAGGCCTCCTCAGCCCTTCTTCGGAAGCGATTACAGCGACTGCTGTTGAGTAGGAATATTTTTCCATCTTCTTCTTCCGGCGACCTGGCGGAGCCCGCCGACACTTTTGAATGCCAAGGTACCGGGGGTACCTATTTACGTTTCCTGGCGTCGTTTGAATGTGCCGAAATACCATGAAAAGTCTATGCCGGGAGTTAATCTCTGCGTCGACGATGCCGGTGTTGTTGAAAGCGATCCGGCGGTCTCCGACTTCGCAGTGCTTGGCGACTGCGCCGTGCTTGTCGTCGAACGTGCGCGCATCGTTTTTGTGTTGGCGAATTCTTTCGTTGAAGGTGCATCGGCGCTTTGCCAACAGTTTATATCATTGGGCTCTGCCACATCGCTGAAAGAAAAAGATAGAAAAAAGCGGCTCCTCAACAGGCATCATTATAGTAACCCCTGAAAAAGAGCCCAGCAGGCATCGAAACGTAGGGTCCATATATTTTTAGGATTCGGTTAGTTGTCGTCCTTCATTTTATTGATGTGCCTGCTAGGGAGTGCTTGGCTCATAGCTTATGTATCAGTGAGTGGCTCAGATCTGTTAAAATAGGGCTTAAATTGGAAGGACACTTTGTTTAGGAACAGGGACAGCTGAGGAAATTCGGCAACTGGGGGAACCCTCCGAGGTATTGTAGGGAACCCCTAAAGTTATTCCGAAGGACCCTTGACGGTGCCTGGGGAACCCGAGTTCCTAGGAACTCAGTTTAAGAATGCGTGCTCCAGCCGACAAGCAAACGGAAACTGTCCCCCTCCGTAGATCACAGGATTCGAGTTGTGCTGCGAACGAAGCACCACCTGCACTGTGCAGTCAAGTAACTTGGTGTATGGGACGGTTGCCACAAAATGCCGTCTTCCTTCTGACAAACCGTTGGCCGCAATGTTGGCAAGCAATTTCAGCTGTTTGTCACTTGCCGGTTTGCATGCGAATCACAATTCACTGGCGCCGTTTTAATGCAGAATGCGTCGTATGGCTTAACAACTTCGGTAACAAGCTCTCGCAACGGGAGACAGTAGATTGAGCGCTGTGTCGGCGTCCAATCTGCACCTCGTACCTGCACGCTTGCCGCCGTTTTCTTCGCCGTTGTAACCCTGAACTGGTGCATTTGACAGTCGAGCGCTAACAGCCAAAGCTCTTTTACGCCACCAACCATGCCGAGAAACTTGAGCTCACCTTAGCCTGAGATGCTTCTTCTTGATTGTTCGCAGGCACGAAGACGACTGTTGCTGGCCGTCCTCTTCGTCGTCGCCTGCGATTTGGGAAGGAAGTCTCGAGTAACGGTGCCACTCTTTACGAGGCGTGACGAAGAGCGTCGCAAGAGCGGGAACTCACTGGGAGGGTTCAGAATGCTCGGACCGTTCTGCAGTGACAGCATGGTGGCAGCGGCGTCCACATCCTGATCTGTAAAGGCCCAACAACAGACAGGTCACGGGTCAAGTCGAGTGGACAAGAAACAAGTCGGGTAAGGGGGCAAACAGCTGTTACGGCTCCTCTCGGCTTTCTACAAAAATTAGGACGTCTCCTTGCATGCCGTTCAGATGACATTTTATGGCGGCACTTTCTTTTGATGTCTCAAGAGGCCATACGAAAGTGGTAACAAAACAGGATTTGCGGTAAACCGTCGAAAGGAACAAAACAAAAGCTAACCTTTCGTTGAAGAAGCGGCTAGCCTCTTTGACAGGAAAGGAAAAAGTGCTGCAAAAAGGAAAAAAAAAATGAACCGAAGATGTGTCACCATGGCTTTGGAGAAAAACACTGCCTAACGCTATCTTTCCTAAACTTCCCATTTTCCTCCAATTTCCAACACCGACTTGTCAAAACAGATACGCAAAAGACGAAAAAACAAAAAGTAAAAATCTATTAGGAGCAGATGCAATATCTCTACGAAGCTTTCCCTCCACCTCTAAACATCCATTCTCTTTCAAATAACTTAGCATGCTTCCATTGCTTTTTTTTGTTTTTGTTTTTCTGCACATGCTCTGCTTAAAGGTTGAGTTACTTGTTGATACGTGTTCACTAAAGTGTATTGTAAACATCGCTTGCTTCATTGCAATCGTCTTCAATTATAGGGAGAAAACAAACAAAGAAAAAAATGGGTAGGGACAAGAAGCGAGAGTGGTGGGCAAGTAGAGAGCCTAGAATGACAGACTTTCAGATATGTTACAAGGCCGCGCAACTAATGGACACCATCATGTGCTTCAAGTCGTCACCAATAGGACACATCAGAGGGTTGCCCGACCATCCGCAAGCCATGAAGGTTTAAACATTTGTCTTTGTATTTACTACAGCACCGACAATCTTGACCCATGCAACCAGCCTATGAAGATTCCATATCTAGAATAACCTAAGTTGCTTGACTTTTGTGTTGTGACCCAATTAAGGTTGATCGAGCGTGTACGTCTACACATTATGGCCAGTAATGCTTCTTAGGGGTTAGATGGTTTGACAAACTTTGTAAGGAAGATTCATCACTCATGGCGCAACAAAAGACGCAGGACATCACATACCTGCGTCTGTATCCTATACATCTAGATCTAAACTGGTGACACTAATTTCAAACTCGTACAAGCTAAAAGGTCACAGGCACTTGAAGCCTTCACAGAATTCACTTGAAGTGCCAAATATTCCGACAATTTCACATTGTTCCGGCTAAAAGGGTCAAAAGTGAACAAGGTTGCACTAACACAAAGCCACAAATCACACTCACTTGGTGATGGGACATTGGTGTGGATCTGTGTGGAGTCCAATGGCATCGTCCTATCGCTACTGCAAAAGAAACAACCCTTACACACGTCCCTCGGTTTGCAATTAAAAAAACAGGCAAGTTGCGAACGTTAAACGGGTATTTCTAAGAGCTAAAACGCACAATTTTATTCTCAAGAGTTTCGAGCGCATCAAAACGCCACCAAACGACTGCCGCCAACAATATTCGGAAGTGCTGCACAAACTGCCGCGCAAATATTTTGGTCAGCACTGATATCTCGGTGAAGCGTTTCTAAAAATGAACTTGTGCGCACATTTTAATAATCCTCCATATCAATATGTACTAAAAGTTCAGAAGTGGGTCTTGCGGGAGCGAGTGTACATCTGTCGAGCCAGCGCATAAGTTAGTAGAGCACCACAAGCTCTACCAACCACTTAACCGGCACCGGGTGTTCTAGCAGTTTCGGGAAAGAGAGCAGATTGTGGCTGCCCCCAAGACAACCTTCCACTGCGATCTCGGGGTGACCAAAGACGTCCTCCATAACAAGGTAAATGAAACCAAAATATGCGCGAAAGAGCCGATTGAAATTTGAATGCCAAACAAACAAAAAATTACTACTGTTGGTTGTCTATGAATTGCAGTAGCATTCATCATGTTTACCTCCTTCTTTGGTGCATAGGTCCACGTAATGTCAATTTCCCCGCTAAATTTAGCGGGGAACCTGAATTGCTATGGTAGGTCTCGTGAAATCAAATTTTCCGCCAAATTTAGCAGAGAAACTGTTGGTGCATAGGCCATGTGATGTCAATTTTTTCACTAAGTTTAGCGGGGAACCTGAATTTCCCTGTAGGTCCCGCGACTAGGGTGACCACCTTCCTGATAGCGAAATGCGGGACATGCGGGGCGGGGGGGGTAGAGGAGATTTATTAACACGCACCCCACGAACCGAAGCAGCACAGGATTTAATATCCTGTGCTGTTTATACGTCTACTAATTGTATTGCAGCAATTGAGCTAAAATAATTTGCACTGCCAGTGATATATATTTTTTATGCCAAACCTGTTATTAAATGTGTGGAAATTGAAACGATAAAAATCGACTGAAGCAGAACTCAATGCATCAAATGGAGTAAAGAAACAGTAAATCTTTTTCGGGTTATAGTTTCCTGTCAACGCTTACTTTTATCAACATGGTCATACATAAATTTTTAACATTATGTTCTTTTTCGACCGTTGTGAGTGGCAGGATATCTTTGCATTGTGTAGCTGTCTTCACGAAAAAAAAAATCCACAGCAACTTTTTTGCATTGACACAGCGATATGAAAATAATTACAATAATTTATATTTAAACTTTTGGCGAGCAATTCTTCTTACAATATTTTGCCACTAAGGGGAGAGAGACAACGAAGAATGAGCATAATTTTAAACCTGAGACTGGAGATACGGACAAGATTCAAACACAGAACGACACTTCATCTATGTCGTTCTGTGTTTGTCCCTTGTCTGCATCCCCAGTCTCGGGTTCACAACTATGCTCAATTTACACCAGCTTGCCTGCACCCTCACTATTGCTTCATAAGAATGAGCATCAGTTCTCTTGCAAGAACGACGGTCGCTTCCCGCAATGCCTGGATAGAAAATGGCGTACCATTGCGATTCACACGATTACGAGCGACCTCCGCGCTTCCCCGTGCCCTGTTATTCGGCAGTGCCATGGGTTGCAGAGTAAATTTTACGACAGGATGAAATGCGGGACATTTTAAAGATTTGGAAATTTTTCGCGGGGCGCGGGGCACGCGCCCTCAATGCGGGACAGTCCCGTGAGTCGCAGGACGGGTGGTCACCCTACCCGCGACGACAGGTCATGTGACATCAATTTTCTCGCCAAATTTAGCAGGATAACTGAATTGGTGCATAGGTCACGTTATGTTAAATTTTCTGCTGAATTTTGCGGGGATACTGAATTGATGCATGGTGATGCGTCGTGTCAATCTTTCCGCAAAATTTAACTGGGAAACTGAATTTGTCTTTAAGTCCGTGATGTCAGGTCACGTGACATTAACTTTCCCGCCAAATTTAGCCGGAAAACTGAATTGGTGCATAGGCCACGTGACGTGAATTTTCCCATTAACTTTAGCGGGGAAACCTACTGCACATTAGGAGGCCAGAAAGGTCCACGAAATCAGGGGAGGGGAGGGTAGCTAAATAATGCTGTGGCATTAAAAGAGCTGCAGACCATAAACAGTAACAAGGTGCAGACACACAAAACAGCACACACAAGCAGCAGAGCTAACGCTGGAGAGGAGGCAACCTCCTCTCCAGAGCTGGCTCTGCAAAAGTGGCAAGAGGTGGGAGAAGCTTCCCCCGAACTCCTGTCGCCGATCATAGAAACGCCGGCCCATTCGATCCAACCCTGCCTTGAGCACGTCGAGAGGAGGGTCCTCACCAGTTGAGAGAAGAAGGCACTGATCGGGGGGTGACCCGTGAGGAGCCCCAGCTGCTGAGCTGGGTGTAGGGGAAGCAGGGGGTCTTGCGCATGGCCTGCAGCAGGTTGGGCCGGTACTCCGGGTCGATACACCAGAGGGAGCCCTTGCCCACGTTCTGGCCACGGTCCTTGTCCACCTTGCGGAAGCACTTGTTCAGCGACAGGTTGTGCCGCACAGAGTTCTTCCAGCCCGTGGGGGCGCTCTCGAAGTATGGGAAGTGGCCCAGGATCCAGGCGTAGATGTCCTTCACCGGCAGTGCCTTGCCTGCAGACTCCTCAATGGCCATGAAGATGAGGCAGCTGAACGAGTAGGGTGGCTTGGAGTTGACGTGCACCTGAAAAGGGGCGGGGGGTCGCCTTTAATGCAAGGTCGGAACCGGCCCAGCAGAAGCACGCAAGGCCACCAATAATTCATCGTCAGGGGGGGACACTCACACCATAGAGTTCACATCACAATTCTTGAGATTAAGGTCCACCATTCTTTTTATACTATGCATGCCACTGACGTCTTCGTTCAAAATAAAGCTAAAAGCTGCTTTGTGTGTATTAAAGCGTTGCCAGTAACATCCACAAGGACCACCAACCGATCTAGTCTGTTTGGCCCTAAAATTAGAAATGTGGGAGCTACGTTTGCCGGACCAATCAACCATCTCCCTTTCGTCACCAAACTTAGCTCTCTGCACATGGATATGGATGGGAGCAGGATCATGTGGCGAAAGATTGATGTACCGCGGGTTCAACGAGCTTGTAGCTTTTACTGCCCTGTCAGCTTAACAGTGAAGGAACTCTAGTCACTGACGTCCATGGCCCCAGTAATCCCATGTTGCTGGCGACGCCTTAGTGTATGCAAAGACACAGCAAAACACCACTTGCAAGGTCTGTACCTCAGCCGGTCTTCAAGCTTTGTCTCGCACAAAGACACCGGCATTATGCACTGTATAAAGAGAGGCTGACGTGCACTCAAACAACTTAACTTCTGTGCAAAACAAAAATGTCTAACCTTTCATCCGTTTTCTTTTCACACTTCCCTGTCGCTCTCTTTCTTGTTTTGTTCTCTCGGGACAGCCATTGTCAGAACTTGCAATTTGCCGCATTCTGCTCCCGTCTTTACGGTAACGTCGGACTGTTTTCTTACGTTACGCCGTGATGCGACTGCGGGTCACCGGCACATTCCTGGTTCGTATGCCGCTTGCCAAGCACTTCCTTGGATTCGTTGCCACACTTCACACAAAGCACAGCTGTCCTGGTGACATTCAAGCCCTCTTTACGAAATCACACTGTACTGTGTGAATGGGTCTTTGTACTATGCTTCGTCTCGCCATAAGTGAGAACGTAGCTGATGCTACGAGTCAACTGGGCCATTCAAACAGAGCCGAAAGTGCAATGTCACAGTGTTCGTAGTCTTTTGGCACGACTAATCGAATCAAGCACACAGTGTGCATCATGGCCTTGTGCTTTTAGTCTGTATGTCCTCTAGGCTTCCACTGAGCTCCGATTTATAATATAGCAGGGTACTGTAGTCGAGCAACTCACCGAACATACTATCAACCCTCGAAAATGCACCTACAGAAAATTTCCGGATAAAGTCATTCCCATTTCATGAGACACGAGAACAAGGCCACTTGTCGAGCCAGTGCATAAGTTGGCTGTGCAGTGCAGGCTCAGCCAACCACTTAACTGGCACAGGATGCTTTGGCAGCACGGAGGAAAGGCCAGAGCATGCAACGCAGATAAAGCCCAGATTTCTCTGTACTGCTGACAAAGGGAACGACGCCACAATGCACTCGGGGTGAACTCCTACCTAGTATGTGCCGTGGAACAAATCACCCTAATGGCAACATCAAGGACGTCTCCGACTGGTTTCACAAAACAAGGATGATAACAATCGTAGTAACTTCTATGCTATTCCAAAATGATTGTATTAACCTGTTTCAGATACTAATCTGAAACAGACATGTTCACACAAGCTCTGAACGTATCAGAAGAAGGCTCAAGCACTTTAGACTAAAACACTTCGATAAAATCCATGCTTCATGTGTTTACAAGTACTGACAACAGTTGTTGCATGAACGCGCAGGGCGCTCGCCACGGTCAAGTGTTGCGCCTGTTTGCTTCCAAGGGCCACACGGGGCTCACGCCTCGTGTATTGGCACATTGGTCGCTACTTGCAAACACAAACACATCGAGGGGCTTTGCAGTCACCGGTAGGAAAAGAATGGCAGACAGGTCCTTCAGTTTCCCGCCTCCAGAGCAAGCTACGCACCTTCGGTAACGCCTCAGCGTCTCAGAGCTCTCGAGCGTGCGTACGCAGCCAATGCCCAACGGAAGGCGGCAGGTTTGAGCTGGAGGCCAGGGCCCGTTTGCTCGAAGCACTAACCGCGGCTAAAGTTAGCCGCAGTACCTAGGAGAGGGATTTTGAGATCACGTGACTGGCTCGGTAGGGATGCGGGGAAACATGGCGGTGTCCCAGTGAGTGAGCGCCGCTCGCTTTGGAACTAATATGTCTTTGTGGTTGCAATATCGGGCGCGTTAGTCAGCAACGAATGGTGCAGGAGGCTTTCGCTTTGCCTTACCCCACTTAAACCGCAAAGCATGGGCAATGAGATCGCCACATTTTTTAGATAGTGTTTCGATTCTGGACACTCCTAAGCCTAAATGAACGCGATAGTTGTCGGCATAGAAACGTCTTTGGAAAGCGGATTGTTGATAGCACACAAAAGCAGACGGCGTCCCAACAGACCTTTTTTCTAAATTATCCAAGCACCGAGGTGCATGCTACGACTGTAGTTGCACGCGTCGCACGTGCTGGCGTCTGCAGTAGTAACCGTTTAAGAGCAAATAGTATAAAACAAATTTTGCCTTGCACGCGCGTTCGTTAAAGCCTTATTATGATTTTTTACTTCAAATCTTTTATAAGAGGAAGGCCAGCGCGCGTGAACCGTAGAATTATACTTCCAGCGTTCTCCTCGCGATGCTTGGATAATTTAGAAAAAAGTCTGTCGGGACGCTGTCTGCTTTTGTGTGCTATCAACAATCTGCTTTCCAAAGACGTTACCATGCCAAATATTATCGGGTTCATTTAGGCTTAGGAATTCCCAGAATCGAAACACTATCTAAAAAATGTGGCGATGTCATTGCCCACGCTTTGCGGTTTAAGTGAGGTAAGACAAAGCGAAAGCCTCCTGCATTATTCGTTGCTGACTAACGCGCCCGATATTGCAGCTACAACGACATATTAGTTTCAAAGCGACCGGCGCTCACTCATGGGGCACCGCCATGTTTCCCCGCATCCCTACCGAGCCAGTCACGTGATCTCAAAATCCCTCTCCTAGGTACTGCGGCTAACTTTAGCCGCGGTTAGCGCTTCGAGCAAACGGGCCCAGGTGTCAGAAAAAGACATCCAGCCAGTTCTCAACCTGCCAGCGACTACAGTTGGGGCAAGATGGCGGTCACCCCCAAACCCTCACCTGCGGGTTGTAGCGCACCTGGCCGGGCGGGCCCCACTCTCGGGATCTGTGCCCTGCCTCCTCCTCCTCCTCTCCCCCGCTGCTGCTCCCGCCTCCGGCCGACTGGGCCTCGTCGCCCCTCTCCTCTTCCTCGTCTCCCTCCCCGCCCTCGGTGGCGGAGCCCCCCTGGCCCCCGCCGGTGGCCAGCCGGCGCAGGAGGTTTGTGTCCTGCAGCCAACTGAGGCTGGTGAGCTCGTCGTCTTGGCCCCCTCCCACTCCCCCTTTGGCCGGGGTGCTGGCACCGGGGGGCGTGGTGCCCCCCCGGCCCCCCACGGGGAGGCCCCCCCCTCCCCGGTGGGGGGGCGCCGCCTGCGCCGCGCTGCCCAGCTCAGCCTCTTCTCGCATTGGCTGCTCCTCTACCGCCATCCTTCGTGCAACTCCTCCGCAACCTGGGCAGAAGAGGGAACGGAACTTTGGGGTGGGGGGCTTGCAACCAGGATCAAGGACTGGACTGCCTGGTGCCTTCCTTAAAGGGAAGCTGAACCGAAATTTTTATTTCAGAAAACAATGCAGAAGTGCTAGGCGGGACGCTACAAACCCGAAAGCATCACTCATAAAGCGATGTCTCCGACGGATGGTCGTATTTTTGTGAAAGAAGAGTGCGCTTGAACAAGGTCAAAAGGGCCTGTGACGTCGCCAATTCTCCTTTCCTCCTCTTCTCGCTTTGACCCCGCGAGTATGCAAAGGGGGAAGGAAGCAAGGCCATTTCCCCTCCTCCTCAACTATTCTACAGGAAACGCGACGTCGCAATTCTCACTCAATCACATCCTTATTTTACAAAAATACAGCCATCCATTTGAGACATCGTTTTACGAGTGGTGTTTTGGAATTTGTGGTGCCCCGTTGAACACTCCTGCTACGTTATCTTGTGAAATCCAAATTTTGGTTCAGCATCCCTTTAAAGGAAGGATGCAACTCAAGAGTTTCATTCGTACGAAATTTGAAGGGCACATTCATAACAATGAAAGAGGATTCATTGCAAAGTCTCAAGCTTATAAGTTAGATACAAAAGAAGGACAACAAAAAGGTGTTTCCTTTTTGTCTAATAATAGGCCCTTCTCAAAATTCAGTGCCATGGTCAAAAACCAGTTTCCCTTTCAAAAACTAATGACGGTCATGAAACTGTATTTTTTTGGGCACCGTCACTTCTGCATGTCAACGGCAGATAAAAGTTTGTTCTTCAATAACCTCATAATTCTTTCTTGATTCGTTTCAGTTTTGATGGTGTGAACATAACAACTGACCAGTACAAAGCGGCGACCCATAAGCACCTTGACTTAATTTCCACCATCAAAAGGCTTTTGAGCTGAAGTTGCGCCAAAAGACTGACTGGAACACACCCCAAAATAAAAGCTTATGCAGCCATTGTATTTCATTTGTGCGTCATGCTGTACTGACATGTCGAGTGTGCAGGGCTTGTATATCTTCCTCTTGGTAGCATCTTCAACTTCCTTCATCAGACTCAAGAAGGGTGCCATTAGTATGGTACAGATACCATCAACGTTACTAGAATACTCAATTGAGAAACTGTCATAGGAGCCCGATTTAAAAAGTGGCTCCTATCAGTACTCGAGAACCAAACTAAACGCGGTCGCAACGCCGCCATTTCTCCCACAGTGGCCACTTTGGGAACTGCACGGATCCACATATTCGTTCAGGTTGAGTCATGCAAGAGCCGGTGCCATCATCTAGCAGTAGCCAGAGTTTCGCATTCGATAGCATCCGCGGTTACTGCTCAGTTTTGGCTTTGATCAGCCATTTTGGTGCCGAAACGTATACAGTGGAAGGGGTCTCAGGGCTGCACACCCCTGTCTCCCAAGCGAATGTGCCATGAAATAATGACTGAAGTTAAGACACACCCAGGTCGGGACGTGCTACCTGAAGTCACCAGTGAGAGACGGCTGTATAAAAACAACATTAATTGTGCCATAAAACCCTGTAAACTAAAATATTCTGCAAACATAATGCTTCTGTTATTTTGTACTAATCTCCAATAAAATTTTCTACAAAAAGAGTTTTTCCATTTGTTTTTATGCAAAAGCATGGTTTCTAAAAGCTCATGGTGACCACAGTAAAGAAAAAAAATTGAGTTGCCATCTTGAAACTTTGAGCCTGGGAGTTTCGGTACTTTAGGAACCTTCAGTGACCCTAGCCATAGCCATATAAAGCAACTTTCATGTTTCAGCTCATCGCTAAAGTGTGGCGCTGTTATCGTATATAGCTTTGTCTTCGTCAATGCCAGCTCTACAGGTTTTAAAGATGTGTTTCCCAACTGACTGTTTTAGTAACGATGGATGCCATACACTGAGATGATGCTAGTGGTCAAAGTTGCCAGACAACTTCAAAAAGTGTCTAGTCGCCAGATCTACGAGTTATACCTTTGAAGAGTTCCATTAACATACATCAAATGAGCACTGCACCCACCGAGGAGTGAGAATTGGCAGTTCTTTTGGTGAAACGCACAGTATAACGCCTGTATAAGAGATGGAAGAAAAGAATGCCTGCACGCAGACATGAGCTTTGAGCAGTAATGCACCATTTAGCCGTGCCTAAAACATTAACTTCTAAGCATTTGTGACTGGCAAACTCTCCTTGTCATTTAGTTGTGCCTTCACAGCACCACTTTTACTGATGTTTCAGTGAAGAGAAAGGTGCATGAATTTTGATTCACTTGTTTTGTAATCATTATTTTTTTCAACAAAAAAAAAACATTTAGTTACTAAAATATATTTTTTTAAACTAGCTTGTTAAGCACTTTATTAAATAAAAAAAAGAAGACTTTCCATTTAAAAGCGGGCATTATAGGTTCAGGCGACTGGCACAACAGAGTTTGGCTTTTCCTTATAATGAAAGTGATCGCTGCACACCAGCTACGTCTAATTGCTTGCCAAGGGGCTAAATACACACTTCCTTAAACCCAAAACCAAAAAATGACATAACATCAAGCAACCTGACCACAAGATAGATTCACGACATTCCCATTTTTTTTTTTATTCCCCGAACAAACAAGGCACACAAGAGAGTGTGCATAGCAAAGCGTCACACATCATCCCTACCAACAATTAAACATGACATTTCTGTACTTGCAAGTGATATGCCACAATAAACACTAAGTCTGAGCACTCAACTGGGTGCAGTAATCTAATCAGAAATGTCGAGCTGTGCAAGTTCTTTTAGACTCACTATCCTTGTGTAGGCAGCATAATTTTTTTTTTTTAGGCTTTCCAGGTCAACATTTGAGAGGTACAGGAAGGATGCCTACCAAAACTACTGCAGCAAACTTTTTTTTTTCGGAAGTTTGTCAGTAGAATTACTTAAATACTTATGTATCCACTGTTAAGAAAAAAAATTATATGCACGCACATGAGCTAATGGCCACCGCATTGCAGATGAGCTTCAGTGAACGGAATTCGAGATCTTTGCTGACTTTCCGAATGCTCCAGATGTGCCCAAAGCAAAAAGCAAAGGGTACACACCATAAAATAACCACGGAGGGGCGTCCAAAAGATCAAATATAATAATATATAACACATCGCGTGACAAAACACACACACACACACCAACGGTTATGAACGTAAACAAAAACGGCAGATGTAGACAGGCGCTAGCTAGCGGGTCCCAAGTTTCGCTTGGAAACCACTAAACATGCGCCTAGAAACCACGAAGCAAAACACATGCAAACTGCGCGCGAGAACTATGGCTGCGAGCAGCGGCAATGCCTTGTGGAACCACATCTCTCTCCAAACAACACGCGAACAATGAGCACTCGTGCAAGATAAAAAAACAAAACGAAAAGAACACCAAAACCTCAGCAAGAATGAGACCCCAGTCCCAAAGCAGCGACGTAAGACGCCGAGGCACATCAAAAATCGTCAGGCGTCCCCCCGAAGCGTTTGGCCCTTAGCAACTGACGGCGGCGTCCCAGCAACCAACCGCCCAAAACACGATCTCGTCCCGCCGACATAAGGTGTTCGCGTCGCCCTAGCGAATCTTCTTTTCCTCACCTACATGACAGCGAACAATCGACGGCAGCGGCGACTGCACAGCACGAAGGTGTCGGCGACAAATCCAAGATCAAGGGGGGAGAGCCGCCAAGAAGAATAAAACGAAAACGAGGGCTACCCGCGCCGTAGTCGAGCGAGCGCCGAGCAGACGACGAAAAAAACCCAAAACAGACGAAGCTCTCTCCAGCGCACGGACAAGCCCGCCAAACCCGCCAAAGCAGGAGATCTCGCGCGATCCCGAAGCTCGCGCGAGAAGTCCGTTGTCTGGGGCAACGCGCAAATGCCAACCAGCGAAGCGCACTTCGCCGCAACACGTGTTCTCTTATCATTTTGTTATTATTATTGAAAATATTATTCCGTACGCTCCGTCCCTTTCCCCACCGACCTCACGCAACGCTTTTGTGTGCACATTATTTTTAACTTATTTTAAACATTAAAAACAACGCAGCCTGTTTTTTTTTGTTTTTTTTTTTGTTTTTTTTACTTGACGCGAGACGGCAAAAAAAAAAAAAACGCGGTGGTGGCGTGCCCACAACCGCCTCCGCCGGGTCAGAAATCGACGTTTGTCAAGTGCAATTTCCGAACACGTCAAACGCTGGTATGCGTAGATCTCAAACCTCTTCTCTTTTTTTTTTTTTTTTTTTTTTTTTTTTTGAGGCCGGAGAGGCCTGAGACAGAAAAGCTAAGCGAATCGGACCTAAATAATCGTTAAAAACAAAACAACATCGTTATAAAAACAGCAACGGCAAAAAACAACACTTCCGAGCCCACTCCAATTTGCTTTGTCTAAAGCGCTAGACACTAACCAGTACAGTCTAGTCGTCGAAAGTAAGATAGAAAGCAATGTTCAAGGAAAACACTAGACGAGACAACCTCGTGACAAATAGGCTTTTCTTAAAAGCCAGCCCCCCCCCCCCCCCCCCAACCCGCCGTTTTTTCTCCACTTCGTTTTACGCGACTTTTCGACAAAACCGGCACAATTGACGTGAAAAGAGCGCTGCTGCTCCCGTCCCGTCCCCTTCCTCCCTCCCTGCCCTCCTCCTCCGCTTCTTCCTCCTCCTCCCCCTCCCCCATTTTTCCAACTGATCAAATAAGTGCTTCGACGAGAGAAAAACATATTGCGCATAAAATGCATCAACTGCCGAAAACATCTATGTAACGACGTTACCCACACGAAAGGCGACACTGAACCATCTCGTAAGATACAAAAAAAAAAAAAGGGGGGGGGGGCGGGGGGGAGGAGGACGAGATTGCTTGGTAACCATGGTAACGTGACGCGCGCGTTCGTACCTCTCTCTTCCGTTCTTCAGCGCCCTTTCGAACACCTAATTCAGGCGTCATAGTTGCCATGACGACAACAGCAACACACAACGCACACACGCACGCTCTCTGTTGCTACGTTGTATGGCCGCAGAGAGGGAATTGAGATGAGGAGCACTGGGATGAGCAGGAGCGCACGCGCCAAGACACGAGACGAGTCCGGCGGTTGTCACGGCAACCACACTGCACGCACCGCTGATCAGTTTTCCTATACAAAATGTAAATAAAAAAAAAAACGCGTCTTTTTTTTCTTTTTTTGACAGGCAGACAATGGTAGGGAGGCATAGCCAAGGCATTCTGGGATAACACGCGATCGGAAAATGCATCCATAGACGACCCTTTCCGGTTCTAGGCCCCCAGCGTGACAGCGATCAGATACATGTTTTACGAATAGCAGTAAAACTGATAGAAAAGGACCCTTTTGCTGTTTACCAACATGAACTGCCACTCGCGCCCTAAGCGACTTCCGTTCAGTCTGTCTTTGCAGGCTAGTCGAGCCTGCTTATGTCACCGGTGCTAGAAAGCATAAAAAATAAAAATGCTACACGGACAACAAAGTTGGAGATTTAACGAGGGCCCGCGGCTGTACAATTTAACGTCTTGGAGGTGGCAAGCTGGTTTACAAGAACATTCGAAAAATGTTAACACATCTCGCGCTTCTTCGTTCTTTTGCCGTGCACCTGGAGAGTCGGTGGTTAAAACATTTCATCGACATTTCAAACAGTGGTGCTAAAGGGGCCCTGCAACAACTTTTTTTACTTGTTTTTAATTTGCACCGAACCTGAGCCACTGAACGTAGTAACTTAATAAAACTTTTCTCGAATTTCGCTTCATTTTAAAAGTTATAGGCAAATTACATTACAAAAACAAGCAAAAAAATAACCTCCTTCATGACATCATTGGTCGTGGCTTGAGTGATCACGGCGAGTGCTCACGGCTGCCGCACTTCAAATCAACGGCTCAAGAGGGCGCCACTAAAGCATGTTCTGGATAAGCTGTATGAAGCGGGCAGCCAGGGCGGCTCGCATTGCATTTGCTGCGCGATTAAACACAAATTCGGCATGAAACTTCATTGGCCACAAACGACAGCAAACACGGGGTAATGATCAGTTCAGAACGGGAGCCACTTCGCGCTGCCATTCCGTCAAACGGCCAAATTACAAGCCAAACCTCGCCAAAGGCCTTCGGAACGATCGGGACCGGACAGATCCTCGAGCCGGTATAAGACCGCAGCGTCGCCGCGTACATCCGGGACCTTTCTACGCTTGCCGCTCGTCGGTGCTGGATCCCACTACCCCTTTCTAGTATGCGCCGCCTTTTCTCTGCTTGGTGGCGGGTATGTCGACGTGTCATTTCTTGTTTCCGGACTTTATAAACTCTATTTGTTTCTTTTCTGATCTAAAATACTGGAAAAAAAACTACTTTCATGAATAATTGAAATGGTTCGCGCCACTTACATTTTGTATTTCAACTAAAAAAAAAGCTTTTAGCAGATCTGACTAGTAGTAAGGCCAGGACCAAATACTTCACATATCGCGCGCATTCGGCACCGCGGGTCGCCCCCGTAAGTGGAGGAGGTTTCCGCGTCGTCCGGTTAAAATATGACGCACTGATATTTAGTTACTCTCTCCGTGCCCGCTGGCTTGCCCGAACCCCAAAAACGTGGAAAACGCAAAAAAGTTAGATGCAAGGAGGGGTTTGTTAATTCTTTTTATGAACCGGAAGTTCTCTGGGACGTCATAGAGTAACTGCGGGGCGTTATTGCCTCGAGATCGAACCGTCTCGCCATCGTACGGCCGAAATTGGAAACATGCGAAAGCGATACTGCCGTGCACCGTCTGCTACGGGCGCACGTTCAAAAGCATGGATCTCAACGACGCAAGCCCATTTCCGGCTGAGCTGAGCCCCCCCCCCCCCCCCCCCCTCCCAATTAAGCCATTGTTTTTGTTGTCGTTTTTTGCTACTAAAGGTTCTGTTGTATCGTTTCACATGTGTAGAGATTCAGCAAAGCGATTATTGTTAAGTCGGATGCTTCCATAATCTTATTGTGGTTTGTATTAATAATGGACCGAACCTGCCGAACTTCAGATTTGGCAAAGTTCGGCAAATGCCGCCCTTTTGAAAGAAAGTACGGCAAAAATTCGGCAAAAATTCGGCAAATGTCTGTGCACGCGCCAGAACTCGAGGGGGCCAACGGGGTCATGAATTGCAAACGGACGCCGTGCAGTCGTGCCATTACTATCACACAGTGTAGTACTACAAGTGGCTATGGCGAGGTGCGGAGTAGGCAACATGGTAACTATGTGTTTGTCAGCCTTTGAGAGTGTGGTTTTCTTCAATATTTTCTGCCTCAAGAAGAGAAGTTCGACCCGAAATGGACGCAAAAATGACGCAGTCCACTGCGCAAGTGACAAATGGTGCGGTACATTCGGGATAATGCGGTTTTCGTTTTATCTTTCCAGTGACGCAACGAGGTAGTTGCAACGTTGGCAAGTACTTTAGAGCACTCCTCGCCATTATAGCAATCCTGTTTTCGGCTCACAAGTAGTTTGCGCCAAAACAAAATAATACTGGTTTTCAATTAGCGTTATTCCACGGTTTTCACCTATCCGCATAAAACTAAACACAGAACTACCATGCTCGACGTTGCACATCCGACATTCCTAATTCTTCCCATTTTCCTAAACGTCTGGTGTGTCCTAACATCAGAAAGCGGCATTTAGAGGTTAAAAACGATGTTGCAAATATGGGACGCACACCTTCATGCAAAGCTGAAGTGACTCAAATAGAAAAATATGATATTTACAATAATATATTGTTATCTCTTCCGGTGAAGGCTCAACAGCCTGTTCCATTCATCTTCACGTACAAAATTGTGACTCACAGAAAAAAGTATAGAACACAGTGTTACCGCCTTTTTTGCAACAATAAACACTTGCAGTCTGCAGGGATGAGGCCTCAAAACCGAAACTTGTGTATCGTGGCTGCGCAGACTGCTACTGCTACTACCCAACCGCGTTGTCATACCACTTCTGCAAGAAGTTACATTAAAATTACTAGTAAACACACAAAAATTATACCGATCCCACATATTGTATAATGTCGCCTTATTTAGTAATAACTGTGCCAATATACATTAAAAATAAACTTCAAATCTTTTTTCACACAAAAATATGATATCTAAACTTTCAGGTCTAGCAACAATGTATTTTTGACGAATGTTAGCCAAACATTTAAAAAAGTTCAGCTAAAATTCGGCTTTGCCGAATCACAAGATTGCGTGCAAGTGGCGACCGTCAATGTTGCCGGACGAACTTCTAAAAAGGGGGGGTGTCTATTAGTGGCATCTGATTACGCCACGGCCAGATACTTCGAGATACGCAACTATGATTTGCAATGGCAAACCAAGCACTGCGTCGTCACTTGGTTGACGCGTGGTGAAGGTAACCGCAATTTTTGAAGAGTGGAGTGTTTTTTTTTTTTTTTCAACGAAACTTTTATTAAAAAACATTTTTTCTTTCGTCTTTGTATCTAAATTTAGCAGGAAAAATGATGTCTTGTGACGACACCACTAGACAATGTGTCGTCACGCCATCCGACCAAGTAGCGTGACGTCAGGTGACGTGACGATGTCCCCGCTAAGTGGGGGTAAATTATTAACCAATATATGCTCTTCCTTCTCCGAAACGACTGTTAAATGTTTTCGAAACAAAATTTAAATGGGCGCTCCTGAAGTACCGCATTTCCACGCGTTATAAAACTTTGGAGACAAAAATCGCTGGAAATTTTTTTACTAAACAAAAGAACAAAAGGAAAGGGCATGAGAGCTTACCTTGCTCCAAGTTCCCTCTCCTCGAAGACTATCCTCCCTGTACTGGGACATAAGGACTGTTTTCAGGAGTGCCACGACAGCCTGCAAAAAAGAGGAGAGATCGCAGAAGCGTTAGATAACTTAGATAACTATCCGTCAATCCCACTTTATCAAGCATAGAGTTAAACCCCAGAAATAACAAAAAGTAATACAGTGAACCGCAACGACGAATTGAGGTGCTTTTTCACATTTATGTTTTATTAACCATCGCTAAAGAGGTAAAAAAAGACAGCACCACTTAGGTTCACAACGTTAGCAAGATTCGCATGTACTGTTCAATAAAAGCTGCTACTTTTATGCATACTAAAACAACTCAATTCTTAAAATTAAATTGTGCTGATGTCTTTTGCGCAAAAATGCACTCCCGATGCTTTCGAGGGAACACCCTTCATTTTACTAGCCCAGTTCAGTCAGTGGCACAAAAATCAAAACGAAAGAGTGCCACGCCGTAAAACTTCTATGTGTGTTTACAAATGATGTGTTTCCATCTACCCATAAAACAAATTTACCGTATCATACACAGCCACTCACCATCATGCCGATAATAAAATATTCACCAAGGAAAAAAAAAATTAGACAACACGACAACAGTGTTATCTTCGAAAATTCCTTACGTAATAATTTCCGTAAATAAACACACCCTCCCTTTCCCTCCTTCCCTTCAACTCCAATGCTTTTCTTCTTTTTTATTTAAAACGTGGGATTAAAGGTATGCGCTCCAGAAGCATCATATTCTCGCGGAGCGGTTTAAAAGCGATCTCTTCGAAACCGAACCAAACTCCACGTTCACTCAACTGCTTCGTGCGGCCTTTTAATTGCTAAATTCCGAAGACGCGATGAAAACAAACTAATAAAAAGAAGTGTGGGGGCCCCGGAGGGGTCAGGTATGCCGACACCCCCTCTCCCTTTCGCGTTCTTCGCGGCTCGTCGTGGCACGCAAGGGAAAGGGTGCGTTCGATCAAAGCGCACGCGCCGTGAGTCCGCACCGCCGTTGCCCGGGGCAACGCTCCGCGGCGTCCCCTTCGTCGGTCAAGTACCACGTGACTCTCCCCAGTCCCAAATAAACGGCACACGGGGATCGGTACACCCCGACGAGGAGCCAGCTCGCACTTCCAATAAAGAACGGCACCACTCGATGACTCGAAACACTGCTTCCCCTCCCCAGAATCACAGTGATGCCGCCTGAAAAGGTCTACCCACTATCCTTTCAATCAGAACCAATGGGAGCTCGGCATGGTTCTGACGTCAGCACAACTCCTCCGCACGAAGCAGACGACTTGCGGAAGGCAACGGGCGCTTGCTGGAGGCTGCGGGCATCCCAAAAAGGACGCCCCTTCTGATCCTGTCAGTGACAAGAGCACCAGAAAGCTCCAGGTCCCTTCTTAATTAGAACGAGACGCACGGTTGCGCAACAAAAGAAAACGCCCAAATCGCTTTCACGACTAAAATTTAAAACAAAACACATGACAGCGACGACATTGCGCTGTCTCGGCAAAAGAAGAGGGCCAAGGACTGACGCTAGTTTTAATTGAACCCACCCGAGTCGGAAGAAAGAAGAAAAAAATAAGGAAAACAGAAAGGCCTTGCTAATTTCGTAGGCACTCCGGCGAAAGGCTCAGATTGACAGATACACACACAAAAAACAAAAGCCCGGCAATTACAACCAACAGCGAAATGCAAAAAAAACTAAAAGACCAAAAAAAAAAAGTGGCAGCGACATTCGTCTTTGAAGTCCCGTAATACGTGATATGCAGTATTTAAGAAGCGATCGTTTAAACGTGTTTAGAACACGTTGAGCTGTCGTTTCGAGAACTGAAGAATCTATTTTTTTTTCCGCCAAATCTAGCGGGGAAACGAAAGTCAGGACACGGTGACGTCAATTTTCTCGCTAAATTTAGGGACGAAACCGATGTATAAACCTCGTGATGTCAGGTCAAGTTCTTTAAAGTGCGAAAACAAAACCACACAAACGACCAATCACGTTATGTCAGATAAGTGTTCATCCGCGTTTTGCTCGGAGTGAGGCATGGTGAAGTGAGGAGACCATTTTCTCACTCGGACGTTTTTTTAGGCAAAGGAAATGACCACACCACAAGACGAGCACTCGTCCTGCGACGTATTCCTTCCCTTCGTCTTCGCTGTTACATCCACACCATGTTACAGATTGGTTTCAGAAGCATTTTTCGTTTGTTGAGGGAACAGGATAATTTATGGGGTGCAAAGTAGGTGACCCCAGGGTGTAGGCAAGGCTATGCACTCCCCGAAGTCGAATGCGGTCAGATCGCGAAGATAGCAAAGACTGCCCCAATCACGGGTTGCTTTGTTTACACGACGGATAACAAAAATTATTGTGAAAGACAAGGAGCAAAAACCATGGTAACAAGTACAGTCGGTTGTTGATGTTTATATTTGTAAGTACAACATCCCATTCCGGTGTTCCTTGGCGCCTTTCTTTCCCTGCTAACTCCCTTAAAAAAGAAAAATATATATATATAATTTGTGGTCACTCCTACGAAGAAAGAAGACAAAAAAACATCATCATCATCATCCCTGAAGCAGGAGTTTCATCATTAAAGATGAAGCCGTCACTTACTTTTTTTTCCCAGTCTAATTGCACTTCTGCCTTTAGCCTCCCCTCTACCTTACCATATATTCTTCTTCACACTTTCCCAGGTTGTGTTCAAGCAACATCACACCACGTATTTGTTAGTCAAATCAAATGGTTTACTAGGCCCGGCAATAATAATAAATGCTCCGGAGGCAACATGCTTTCGCTTTAAGCCGCAAGATGGCATTAACGGGATTAGAGTGGCGATGGCACGGGGCAAAGAAACACTATTTTGACGTCCGTGACGTCATGTCGTCAAAATAACTGTTGTCAACTTGTGAAGCGCCTAAAAAACGAGGACAAGAGGAAGACGAGACAGGACGAAGCGCTACAGTCGACTCTCATCTTCGTCGTGTCATCTTTCAGGCGCTTCGCAAGTTAAACATGTACCAACTAGTCCATCTATCCATTTTACTGTAACTGTTATTTTGATATCTGTGATGTCACTTCCAAGAAATCATAGAACTTTTTTTTTTAAGTCCCCTTTTTTCCTATTTTGGGAGTCTGCGTGTTGCTGCATGCCAGACGCTCACGGCTGGCGCTACTGAACAGGACTTTTACACAGTGTATATGCGCAAAAGCGTTGGATGACTTTCATGGACCAGCGTTGGGACGTGACAGTGACCAGGCAGCTGGTAGTTCTGCCCGTTCGTTCACATAACTTTTGAAGATTGGATGTCCAAACAAAGGAGGCCTGTAGAGTTATCATCACTGTTCGGGCTGTTGTTGCATAACCACACTTCTCGAAGCACAACGGTCCAAGGATCGATGAGAGCATCGTCCCACTCTAGACATCCCATCCACGACTCCCCACTGTCAAGATTTTCCACATACTTTCTTTAAAATCAGTTTCTTCATCGATACCGGGCAAAGCGCTGCTCTGTTACCTTATGCCCGTCGCATCCACAACTGGGACGCCTTTTTTGGAGGTCCTGTTCAATACCGTTAATAGGTGCTGCAACAATCAACATGCTGAGTCCGGAGTATATGGGAGACGTGGTGCAGTCAGCAAAGTTGTGGGGTTGCGGAAGACGTCAAAATACAAAAAAAAAAAAAAATAATAAAAACTTGCTTTCATGGTTTTCGAAAGGGATGTCACGAACGTCAAAATAAATGTATTTGTTATTTTGACGGTTACCGTCAATTGCCCTGCATCAATTGCCGAAAAAGGCGTCCCGGCAATAACCTGGAGATTTGGGTGCCTTCATATTCGGGAAATGAATTGAATATTCACCATGTGTTATGTCCTCTCGCGCAGATTACGATAGATCACAAAAATGTTTTTGTTTTTTTCTACAACCTCTTTTTTTCTTTTTTTTTTTCTTTGCACTGATCAAAAGGTTTGCAGTACCAAAATAAATAAATATCACAAACCTGCAATACAGCGCCCGTACCTGCATGACCAACTTTATCAACATCGTATGGACACTCCTCTGCGAGACCGATAGCCATCAGCTACGTGTTGCTTATCCCATTTTGATGCAACCTACTTGAGCTGGGGGAGATACCAGCTGAAGCGTCAAAATGGGAGAACTTCCAGGAATCCCCAAGAAAAAAAAAAAAAAAGAGACAATTACACTTTTCTTTCTTTTTTTTTTTTTTTTCATAGAACAGATATTGATTTTGTCAGAAGACGAACCGTGAATATAAAGGAATATTTAATTGTCATCTGTGATTACCCGCGTATTACTTTCACAACTGCCTATCGCCAGCTGTAATACACTTTGCGCCCACCACACCTTTTGTTATTTGTCTCATCGCCTCGTCAGACACAACTCACTCAGCTAACTTGGCAGCTGGCACCTCGCGATGTCTTCGCCCGCTATCTAGAACCAGACGAAGTCAACACGTTCGTCGCTCCCCAAAATAAAAAGACAAACAAAACAGCTCCCAGCCACCAGGAAACACCTATCTGCCTCCGGGCTACGCACAAGAACTTGAACTTGTTTTACAGGAAGCGACTAAAACGCCGCGATCTCTCCAAAAGACACTACGAGGCGTTACGGCGCGACAATCCGATTAAAAGAAACAGAAATACACGACGCGAAGACACGTGACGCCTCCCCGAGGTTGACCGCGCTCTCCCAACGTAGTGACGCCAGTGACGCGTCCGCGTTACTATGGCAACCACAAGATGGCGGTCGCCGGAAAGAAAGAAAACGGCAGCTTGTTGCCACTATTACGGGAGCGTTAGCATAGCAACGCAAGGTCGTCGTTCAGTAGTGAATATAAGGAAAAGAAGCTGTAAACGACACTCCAGCTTTGGGAGATGCCGCCCAGTTCGTTTATTAACAGCTGCACGGGCTGCGTCTCTGAGGAGAAGAGGCGTCAGCTGTTGTAGCTACTCCGAACTTGTAAAATGAACTAATTACTTTATAAAAATTGTTCGACGACGGCAGGTGATTTGGGTACAGCTAGATTTTCCAATTATGTAATATTCTACAGTTTAAAGAAAAATGTTTTTCGGCGTCAATTGTTGCTGACTTATATCTAATCGCACGCAACTTGTTTACAAACTATCTAAAGCTACAAATCAGTCACGGATTATACGGGAAGTCGAACACCTCGTGAACTAGGTTCCGATTAAATGGATCGAAATGACCCCCTCACGTCAGGAAACAAACAAGTCAATTATATAAAGAAAAACACAAACACGAAGAAGAGACTGTAAAAGGAGCCGACGGACTTTAGCTGTTGGTGCAATTCGCAATCGCCTCTCTTGCATCTTTGGCTGCGTCTTGATAGCCGAGGCCACATGCTGAAGACGCCATAACGTTGTGCGATTGCGCAATTTGCAAAGTTGCATGCAACACATCGTCGACATCGTGACAATGACCAAAAAAAAAATCGTATAAAACGACGTTAGAACAGAACTCAAGAGGACCAAAAATTACAAAAGTTCAATTGTTTAAGCACGGCACAAACACAAATCGGCCACGACTTTAGATCGGCCCGTGACCTCGAAGTCGGGACGCCACGTCGTTGTACCGAAACCCCCATCAAAACAAAAAAGCATAAATACAATAAATCAGTGATATGTGTTTTTTGTAAACATCGGGAAAAACAGCAAACTCGCGGATTTCGTCGTCAACAGACATACGTTATGGATCACCGGCGCTTCCTCGTGCGAAGGTCGGTGGCTAACTGCCGACACATGTCCCGGTGCGTCGCGTACCGAAAGATCGACAAAAAAAGACTAACCACAGGGAGAATTTACTTGCAGTGATCGGGAAGAGTTTATGTTAGAACCACAGCGTAGCGGGGAATTGGGGGCAATCTTCGACGACGGGCGCCCCAGCTTCCAATGTTGGATACCGGCCCAACTCGACTGCTTTCCGCCACCATTCGATACCAACCGCGAATCAATGAACTAGCAAGGGTATCGATAAAAACGAACGACTCGTTCGATGCCGGCTTTGCGAATAAAATAGCATTTAGCGTAAAGATCTAAGCCTAGCCGCACATGGAGGGGGGGGTAACCGACCATTTCGAAGCACGGCCGCGATCACGACTTCTTATCCTTCAAGTTTGACCTGGTTCGGGGCGTTCGCGGTAGGGAAATGGTCGTGCAGTTCGAGGTAGAATAACCAACCGCTATCCGAGTACTTACAGGGAAAGGAGATGAAGAAAATGCGTAAACATTCCTGAAGTTGTTCCACCGCGTGTGATGCTATGCTGGCCTGCCCCTGTATCCCTGTGTACGTTGCAGCGTTCGCTCTTCCAGCAGCCGCCGTTCGGGTCTTCGTGCGCTCCTTCGGGACATCGGCACATTTTAGACATTTAGGACCGCCTTGATCATGTTAAATTTAAGACTTTTTGTATGCTAATATAACATTACCGACAACGAAATGGTTATTATAAGTATCCGTGGTGTTTTCAGAACCAACCGTTGTTCACTTTCGGAACGCGGGGGGTAGCAGACAGTTTACGGTAACAGCTACAAGGGCTTGCGTGACGTAGTTCCGCAAGCACATGTTAAACTTCCGGTAACCTGAGATCAGAAGTGTTCGCGTGTGTGGTTCTTATGACTGAGGAGTTACATACTGTGACCTCGAGGGGAAGATTAAACCCTTGTTTTTTGTAGCGTTATTTTTAAAGCGCATTAAACACTCGCGACTGGGTCGACGCCGACATTATCGTCGAAAAGAAAAGTGTTTTTTATAATACTACTATGCATTACTACTGGCATTTCAATTTGACCCCGATATGTTTTCTGGTAAACATTGTGGTGCGGCGCAGAACACCACCCAATTCAAAGTGTGCATTATCCACGATACGTCCACCATATATATATATTATGGGCGGTTGGTTTAAAAAGGTTTAAAGCTGTTGCTCGCCAATCTGTCGGGGCTTCGGAAGCAGTTCGACGGTTCCGAATGTTGTACCGCTTAGCAGTTTTCTTGGACGTTGTAAACTTGACAGTAGTGATATTTCTTTTTATTCAATGGCATTCCGAAGTGCCAAACATTTCACGGAGTCGAAATGTTAGTTGACACCCGTGTTGTGCACTTAGGTAGTGGCTTTCTTTTAGTTTTATCACGTTTAATTTCCAGTGCCTCTTTTTCACTGGTGGACTTCCTTCACAAAGGAACCTGGACGTGCAAAGGCTTGGCGGCAACCGTTCTTGTGTCTTCACTCAAGATATGGTTTTCTTCAATCACGCAAGGCTTTACGCGAGATCAAAGGAAACGTGTTTACAAAAGATGCCCGAGCTGTAGAGGGGTGTTATTGGCAGTCTTTGGATTGGATAAGCATATCTGAATTAGTTTTAATCCAAATAATATCGTTTTAAATAATGCAAGATTTGTATAGTGTTAATGCAATGCAAGATGTTGGTTTGGAGCAGTTACAGATGGTTTTGGAGCAGAAGCCAACCTCGTTAGCATGTCACCTGAAAATTAACCACGATTGCACTACTAAATGAGTCAATCTTTAATGCCGATTGGTTTCACCTATGAAACTGAAACATTTGACCTTTTGTAGTTGTTCTTCATTAATTCATTTTTATTATAATTAATATAATAATTATTCTTAATTTATATTAATTATTAATAATAGCTAGGAAGCGAAAAAAAAACACCTGGCCTTTTTTTTTTAAATAGGGTTCAGGACAGGTTAGTAATACGCAATCGGTATTAAAAAATGGTGGGAAAGTGAATCATTGTGCAACGCTTGTCCAGATAAAGCCCCCGTGCTCTTTTTAGTCCCAGTAAATGTCCGCGAAAACCATCATACACCCCAGCATGTCAATCAATAAAAATAAGTTCCCCAAACTTTTACGAACCTAAAAAACTCAAGGTCTTAATACGGACCATGAACTGTAGAAACAACCGCCCACAAGTATTATAACGTGAGCACAATTTTCGAGCCAATAGCGCTAACTCAGGCACTCCCCAACGTCAGCCGCTGCAATCAGAAGAGCGGTGTAAAGCGGTGAAGCTCAAAGCGCGCATGCTGGTGTGAGACAGTGAAGGTTGACGCAAGCGGAGCAAGTGCCACGGCACACTGAAGCCACGGCACGAAGGCATGCAGGAGATGCAATAATCAAGAGGTCTCACCAGGACTAAAAGACTCTGGTTCTGTGTTGCCGCAGCAGCCATCCCACTATTTTGCACATTTTTCTCGCGAATTTAACATCCAGACATTGGCGACGTTGTCCAAAGATTCAGATGACGACGGGTCAAGCGAGGCTGGCGAGTAATCTCGATTTCCTTTCACCTTAAAGTCAAAGCGTTGCAGAAGCTACAAGCCAATGGCACCAATCAAAACGGCGTCAAAACTGCAACATTGTGGCATTCATCATCATTCTGTACGTCTTTTTTCATCGGCTGAACCACTCAATCGCAGAAAATGCCCTGCGACTTGTGCTTTTAGTATGTGTGTTAGAGTACATATGTGTTCTGACTTAAGGGGAAACAAAGTATACAATACACTAGTGGTTCTCAACCATTGATGTTTCTCGGACCCTTTATGGGTCGGCGGAGATGATGGGGGGACCCCGTCATACACACGAGAAAATTCGCCCGAAAATTGGAAGGTTTCTTCTCAATCTGAAAAGAATAAGATTTTTATTGCCGAGCTTGACTGATTAGCCAGTGCTTCGCGGACCCGTAAAATGCCTTCACAGACCACAAAGGGTCCGCAGACCCCCATTCGAGGACCAGTACAATATACTATGGTCAATCAAGAAAACATTAAAGTTTTTTTTTTCTGCGTAGGTGTGGTACTATTTTTAGCAAATGTGACATCTTCGCACCAGATGTAGCAGACTTTCGTTCAAGACAGTGTGGCGCAGTACTTCCATCACTGCACAATGTACGCACCATAGTTCTCTTTTACCTCATCGTGTTCCAGTTGAAAGCGACTACCTTCCATACCAGGTTGTCTGAAAAAAAGCTCCCGCAACTATGAAGTCTGTTTGAACTTTGCAAATATTTGTCCAACCCAAACTAAACAGCATATCTACAGTTCTAGGTACATTTTACACGTTTAATTCACCATACAGTCTTTATTTTAATATTCTGAATGAAAACAAACACAACATGTTTTTATTATCTGTGCAGCTCCAAAAGCCTGCAACCGACGCGAAATTTGCACTTGGAGGCAGTTTCCGGCAAGTTATGAAAAACATACAATTTGAAAACAAATTCTTAAGCAAGAAATATTAATTATTATCTGAAACAAAGCAAAAACTACCTCAACTATATTCTCATTGAAAAACTTTTATTGTGAGTTGAAACACGCAGCAAGCGAGAAAAACGAACACAAAAGGTAGTCCAAACTAATGACAAAACGTTTGCAAGTCAAACATTTACAAAGGAAAATACTCGGGAAGCAGCTTTTCATATAGCCTCACGTCGATGGGCAGAAACAAACAGAAGATGATTCGGTCCACCTGGAAGGAAACAATTCAACTAAATAAGAAAGTGCCAATATTGCTTCAAAATATCCATGGAAGCATCCTGCAAACTTGTAAAGTAGGCAACTCTGCACTCATAGTGCAGTTATTTTAGTATTCTGAATGCAACCCAACCTTACAAACTTTAGATTCTAACCTCCAAAATTTAACCAGCTTTAATTAAAGGGATACTGAACCGAAATTTCGAGCTCACAAAACAAGGCTAGTTGAATAGGTGCGACGCTGCAAAACCTAAGAACATCACTCATACAGTGACATCTGTAACGGATCGCCATATTTTCGGAAGAGAAGTGCGAAATTGAATACGGCCGACAAGACAAGGCACGTCACGAGTCCCGTTCCCTCTCCTCCTTGCTACGTCCCATCAAACAGGTGAACCGAAGCGAGGAGGAGAGAAGCGAGGTTGCTTCCCCTCATTCTAAAACTTTCCAGGAGAACAATGACGTCATGGTCACAGTGACGTGGTAGGCCAAGGTCATTGTGGAGCACCTTTTGGAGCAGCAATATATACTCTTCGAGCACATTCTTGTCCATTGAACTGCCAATACTGTTCTGAAGTACACACGTGGGTGTCACTTCTCTGCAGTGCATCAATGTACGGTAAGAAGTCCACTCAACGGAGACAACTATAAAGAAATAATACGCAACAAACACAACAGCTAGCTTAACTGTCCATTCTAGGAGATGACTAACTCGCTCAAACAGACCACAAACAAGAAAAATTCTAGAACTTTCGAGTACCGTCAGCCGAGCACCGACACGAAGATCAAACTGAAGAGTGTGTTATGTGAAGCGATGATCGTATCTTTAAATTTTGCAAGAGCCTGCTGTAACTGTACAGCGGTGTAGCGGGCTCGAGCTATTCGTTTGTTCTTAGAAAATGAACCTAACATTTGGCGCTCAATGCTGGCACAAATTCTTAACATTCTGTGAAATGTAGCCGGATGTAGGGTAAGTAGTTTGATGCAGTTCGGCACAAATGGTGCAGCATTCGCATCCTTGTAGTCACTTTAGAAATGCACCTTTTGCAACTCCTAGATTTGTCCCAAACTAAAAAGAAATACATAAAAAATGTACAGAATAATGATCATTCTCTGTGTTCACCTTTAACGCATTTTCTTCGGAGTCCAACCATTCCCTGGCGGCAGACAGAGCCACGTGAGCCGCCTTCTCGTTGGGATAACCTGGGCGTAGAAACAGTCAACAGAAACGATTGCAGATGGACACGTGTGCTTCCAACCTGGCGCGCGCAAAATGCAAACGGGCGTAGAAAGAGCAAAGTGCATCTCACCGTAAATTCCTGTCGAAATGCACGGAAATGCCTGCAAGAAAGTGGAGGAAAAAGGATTAAAACAATTTGGCGAACGGTGATCAGACAGTAATTGCACGTTTGTATCAAACTGCATGTTGCTCTTGGCGCGCGTGGCTGGGCTATGAACTCGCGATTGTGCTCAGGCTACCACCAGGCCCCAATGTGGTGTGTCCTGCAGTGCATGCAAGTGCATTTTCAGGGACTAGTCCAGATGTCTTTGAACAGACGAGTAGTCTGGTGTCGAAAAGTGTTAAGGGGGGACACTGGCTAGAGGTCAAACTTTTGAACTACTCAAGTGATCGGAATGAAATTTGCAGGGGAGATTTAGCTTCAGATGTAGGTGTATTGTGCAAACTTTCAGCTCTCTAGGACAAATTTACATACCTGCAGATGGTGATGTGTCACTCTTCATTAAGAAATCTATGATATGCAAATGAAGCTATTAAGCACCGTTTTGACTGCTTGAATATAAAGCGGGGAATATGGGACCTCGGGCTATCTAGTTTTAATAACTCAAATGTAAAAATTTCAGGAAAAGTTATTACCTCAAAATACGAGATGCATATCTGTTCTATGTCAATTTTTGAAAACTTAGTTTTTTATCACTGAGGACTTCAACTTAAAACAAAATAAAGTAGATAGCCCAATTCCCCAGTAAATTTCAGTTCAGAAACATGTTGATTGTGGTATCAGAATACTTTCACCTTTGAACAATAGATTCCTTCGTATGAAGTTTGCAGCAAAAAGTGGAACTGAGAAAAATGCATTCAAACATTGAACTCCTTTACTTTGTTACTGCCTCACAATGTGTTGAAAATATTTTATATCAATGTAAATATTTGGCGTATGGTTATTAAATTTGGTGTAAGGGTGTATAATTAGTTTCTAAAACTTAAAATGTCAAAATTGAAAAATGAATTTTTTCAAAAAAATTTAAAATTTAGGCCCATGTCCCCCCTTAAGGTCGCAAAACCAAACTCTCGTCGAAATTTCACCAGGTTTCACCCGACACATCTCCAAAGCCTTATATGCACGAAAATGACGTATTTAAGACGCAATCATATAAATATGTTAAAAGGCATTAAACAGTCGTTTACAGAAGTGAAGAAGAACCCATATTTTCACTGATTTCCCCACTAAATTCAATGGAGGAACTGGCTTGGTGCATTGGTCATGCGACAAATTTTTTCCCTAGATTTAATGGGGAAAGTAAATTGGTGAATAGGGCACGTGATAACAATTTTCCCATTAAATTCAAGGGGGAAACTAACAGCACGTGGGTCACAGGACAAATGTTTCTGGCAAATCTCGAGAAGAAATTGAACTGGGCATAGGTCCCGACACATCAATTTTCCCCACTAACTTTGACGGGAAAAGCACATTAATGTATAGATATCTCATGATGTTGGATAGTGTGACATCAAGTTTACTGCTAAACTGAGCAGGTAAAATGAATTGGTGTTAAGGTTATGCGACATCAATTTCCTTGCCAAATTTAGCGTGGAAATTGAATTGGTGTACACAACAAATGACGTCAATTTCTGAGCTAAATTTAGCGGAACACGCATGCGCAGGCAGACTAAAAAAAATTTAAGACTGTGAGGGGGATTTTGTAAAAAAGCGTTTCATGCCTTAAAAATGCCTAAAAAGATCAAGCACTACTATTCAGATAATATATTGTAGGAAGAATGTAGATCAACCCAACAAGTTTCAGGAACACATGTACAGTGCTGAATAACACAAAACCACAGTGAAACAAAACTAACCAGAAAATGTATTTTAATTTTCTTATATTCATAAACCACAAATATGTTGATTCCCAAGTATTACAGCAAAATACTGTGCCTGCAGTTTATAATCCGTGTTTAAAAATCAAATTCTTTTGGACTGTCTGGAAACAGTATTTTTTTGACATCATGAGCAACAAAATGTCATGGTAGCTGTGTCAAAAAAGTGTGAACCTGTTTTTTTACTTTATTTAATTTTCATAGAGCAAATTGGGGGTGATAAAAATATTTAGTTATTTATTGTCATTCTAGTATTAGTTGGAAACCACATCACGTGATCGGGATACAGTTTCGGATTCAAACACGTCCGGGTCTTTTGTCGTTTGTTAACCATCATAACTGTGCTGCTTCTACTGCCGCAGCTCGCATTTGTTGTGGAATCTCATCGTGGATTAAAGTCAAACATAAAGTGAAACAAAAAAATTTTATAATCCCAAGAGGATTAAAACTCTAAACTTCGCAAAACCAGTAGCAAGGATGAGCATACGACCTCTCGACTATCGGCACATCCGTTTTTGTTTGCTTATTTTCAGGGGTGGGAGTAGGACGTTCTACTAGTTCTCTCCCGATTGACTTTATGGTTGCGAGTTTCTCTTTCATTTTCCTTCATCACGATCGTCCCCAGCAGTAACATGGCGTGCCGCTCCGCAAAAGCAAAGGCTATTGATTTTGCTTATATTTACAGACTTCTAGTCCTTTTTCTGGGAGCAGATCAACAATTTTCTGGTCAAAGCGAGAACCTTGCGGCACATCATTTGACGGCCATATCAAGATGCAGCTCGACCAATTGAAGTCGCAAACGATTCCCTCAGACTTTCCCATTTCCCCAGATTTCCAAAATCTGGCGACAACTTATGCCACCTGGCAAATTTGCGTACCAGGGTCCTGATCTTGTGAGCCTTGGCAGTTTCCAGACTGGTCACATAGCAGCCGTGTAGCTTGGCCTCATTCTCTCCGACTGGACCCACGGTATGGATAACGTCTGCACGGCACCAAGAGTTTCCTTACTTGGAGTCATATCTATTTATCTTTAAAAGAAAACGAAAAGGGAACAACTGTTGGCCGCATCGCAGCACCGATAACAGGGACGAAGCGGCCTGAAGTTCCATTCAACAGTGATTTGTCAATGGATAGACCATGGTTTGGAAAAGCGAGACGGCACCAGATGTGCAAAAGGAAAGGCAAAATATTGCAATTCTTCTTCTTTCTTTATGGGAAATTCTTTAAGGGGAAGGGACCACCCAGGGTACAAACTCTGCACCTTATCCTGCAATAGTACCTTGACACCCAAGTGGTGACCACTAGGTGCGCACCACAACTCACCGGCACCCAACCGATATCAACCTACAAAGTGGAACAAATAAACGGCAAAACAAACCACAAAGCACGGTCGACCTTGAAACTCAAACTGCCGTTACTTCTTCAGCTGAAGTATTTTCCAACCTCAACTTGCCACAAAAAAAAAAAAGTGACTAATTACAGTACAAATAGAAAGTATCTGTGTATCCTTTTAAAAACATTAAAAAAAAAAGACTCGAAACTCTGAATTTTGTAGTTGCTATTGTTTTCTACCGACTCAGTAGTGTTTTGATTTATGGTTTCTGACCAACCTGGGTTCCAGCACTCCAAACGCTTGATTTGCACACTTGCATTTGAGTTCGCTTGAATGCACTGTGCTCGCATGTAACCCCTTAGGAGAGAATGTGGTGGCACACTGGCACCATCCATCAAGTAGCCGTGGAGCACTTCCAATCCGCATATATAGGGTGGCACCCAAGCGGACCCACCGCCATAAAACAAGCCAGAAAAACCGGCTCTGCACATCGAAAGCTCAAACTTTTGCTGAATGCGCCCCGAGCAGATCAGTTTCACCATGCGAAATTTCACGCCGCAGTACTCTTTCTGTAAAAAATGAGAGCAAAAATTTAACCTTGACTTTGGCAAGCATTTTGCTGTCATTTTTTACAGGAAGAGAACTGTGCCTTGAAATGTCGCGCGGCAAAAGCTGACCTCATCAGTGCACATCGCCTTAACTTTGAGCTTCCCATACACAGGTGCCGATTTTTCCGAGACACCCCATGCACATCTTTATGCAAAATTTTGACGCGTCATTCTTTTACTGTGCGTTTGAAATAATTCTGACAATACTATAAGCAACCATTTCTCATAGATTGTACACAGATTCGATCTTGCAAATACTGAAAAGCCCTCAGTCTAGGTATACCCTCAGTCTAGCCAAACATGGGTCGGAAGCCTCAGTCTAGCCATATGTGGGTTGGAAGCATTCTGGGGCTACCCAATGGACGACGCCAGTCTCGTCACAAGGTGTTACAAGCGAAGCGCAAACGTTTGAACCAGACTTCTGCGGTTGTAGGCAGCAAGGCACACAGTTTCTCACATTTTGCGGGCAGCTTGTAGCCCCCCGTGATCTTGGCCTCTCCGGTCGGGCAGCCGTTTAACGTGGCACACTCCTCCTTCAGCTTCGGGCCCGCTGCGCTGTGGATGGCGCCGTCAACTGTGAACATCGGAAGAATAAGGAAAAAATGGAGATGTCGGACTTCGTTCGAAGGAGCCTCCCGAACCTCGGTTAGTCAACCGGTTAGTCGGATTCCGGTTCAGGGAATCGTGTGTCTAAATCAAATTGATAAGCACAATTTCAAATTTTCATTCCACGCTTGCAACACGTTGCAAAGTCTTACAGTTCAGAAGGCAAGCGAGTTCAATGACGTCGAAAGGTTTAACAAAAACTTTCAGCCTTTTAAAATTTGGTGAAGAAGGAAGCGGCAGCGAAGCTGTAGCCTCTGTTCTCGGCAGTGGCTTTCCAGGCGAGCGATCTGCTCCTTTCGCAAGGGAATCTGGAGCGCTCGACGCAGTGGAACTTTAGGCGATAGCGACTTCGCGGCGGTTGCGGAACCATTCGCGCTGCTGCACACATCGCCACTCGTTCCGCTCCCGCTCTTCGTCCTCTGAAGAAAGGTTGTCGCCGTCGCTCATAGATGGCGGTAGCAATCCAGAGTTCGGTGTCATCATTTCTAGTCTGGCGGACACGATCCTGGAAAAACTAGCCCTTAAAGGGATGCTGAGCCGAAATCTGGATTCCCCAAAACCCGCGGCAAAAGCGTGCAACGGGATGCTACAAACACCAAAATATCACTCGTACAGCGATATCTCAAACGGATGACCGTATTTTTAAAAAAAAGAGGCACATTTGGCCGGAATGTTGACGTCATGTTTCTCCAAGAAGGAGAGGGAACCGCATCGCGTCTTCTCCGCTTTGCGGCCTTGGGGGAGCGAAGCAAAGAGAAGAGGAAACTAGGTATCCTGATGTCACGCGCCTCGTCGGCCTGCTTCAATCTCGACTTCTTTTTCCAAAAATACAGCCGTCCATTTCAGATATTGCCTTTCTGGTAGTGTTGTAGGGATTGTCGCGTCCCGTCTACATCTCCAGCATTGTTTTTTGAAATCCAAATTTTGGCTCACCATCCCTTTAACAGCTGCGCTGTTAGTTCCGCTCCCGCTCTTCTTCCTCCAAAAAAAAAGTTGCTGCCGTCTATGAGCGATCGTGGCAACCAGTTGTCTGGATGCTGCTGTCGTTCATAGATGGCGGTAGCTGTCCAGAGTTTGGTGTCATTATTTCTGATCCGGCGGACATAATCCTGGGGAAACTAGCCCTTAACAGCTCCGCTGTAACATGCAAGCAGCAAGCATGCCAAGTTGGACTGGGTTCTCCCCAGAAATTCTTGAGATCTGCACGCCTGACAATTTCCTTGGTTTTGGGGGAGGAGGAGGAGAGGGCAATCGCTGAAACTCTTGGTGTTCTCGGCACTTCTTTGCCCAACAGCAGTGATTTTGTTTGCAGGAATAATGCGGTTCTGTCTCGCAGCGCCACGCAAGTCTGCCAGACGCAACAGCCTGGGGCATCGCACATTTCCAAAATCAACAGCGTTTTGTTTAGCAGGAAGCAAAATACAGGCGTGGGTCGGAGTAGAGGTGGACAGTCGGCCAGACTGGTGCGCGGCAAAACCACTGCCACCACTGTGCGGAAAACCGTGACTGGACCAAATGCTATAAAGATGACGCCATTTCAACTACAAATATCTTCATCAAGACTGTACTTCAAGAGGAAAACGAAAATGCTAGTTGAATGCCTGTAGCCTAGTGTTTTTCCTGTGCCTTTTTGGCAACACAATGGTTTTTCCGTTGTCTTGGACAGCTACTGCACAGAGTGTGGTTGGAAATCCAGCTAGAGGCTAGAGCAAGTTTTCCAACCATTTTGAGCAGTACACTGAACATTGAGCCACCGAAATTTTGGACCTAGTACTTTTGCTTTCTGTGGAGGGCAGACTGTTTTGAAGTACAGACATGTCACATTAAAATGGACGCCTCCGTTCCCCCAGAAACATTGTCCATGGTGCTAGTCGTCCAATAAAAAATAAGACATTTATAACTCCCTGTAATGCAGAATTAGAGCACAGCTCTTGAAGAGGAGGAGGAAGGGAGGGTATGGAGAGGAGGGTATGCCCCTCCTCCCTCTCTTCCATCCTCTCATTCTCCTCCCCTCCTCCTCACGAGACCTTCACCGTGAAGGTTGTGACCTTCATAACGTCACTCACGACCTTCGTGACGTCATTATGGGAACCGTCACATAATGCAACACGTGGTTACGAGTGACGTCACTTGTGACCCTGGTGACGTCATTATGAGAAACGTCTCATAACGCAATGCACGGTTACGCCGACGGCGACGCCGTTCAAGCCGGAACCGGGCGCCTAAGAGCTGCACTCTAAAACGAATCAAGGTCAAAACACACACATCAATAAGCGCAGCAACAATAGCCGGGCGAAAGATTGGTCACCGGAAATTTCGTCCATAATAACTAGACATGACTGTACTAGGGCAGCGAAATCTTGCCCGTTAATATGCACCTCTGCATCCCAAACAGCCACAAACTTTACAACACTGTGCTAAATCTTTTCGGTTTCCTGTCTTAATCCTATAGTTTGTTGCACGTTTAGAATAGCAGGGCAAGACTCTCGCACAAATCTCTCTGCTCGCCATGATTGGTGATTTCCTCCACTGCACACTCGCCCTCTCTGCATTCATTCCACTAGAGTCCGCTGGAGAAACGCTGCTTTGAAGGAGCTTGGCCTGCTATCCCAAACCTGCAACAGACTATTGGCCTTGAGATGCACCTAGAGGTGGCCCAACTGTCGCGCTATCATCATCATCGAAGCGGGGATAGAAGCATGGCTGCCCCATAGGCTCTCCACGTTCACACGTGAGACAGCGTAGATTAGGGTGATTACGTGTCCCGTGACTTGCAAGACTGTCCCGCATTGAGGGCTCGTGTCCCGCGTCTGGTAAGAAACATCAAAATCTTCAAAATGTCCCGCATTTCACACTGTCGTAAAGCTCGCTACGCAGCTTATGGCGTTGCCGAACATTGGGTACACAGGGGAGCACGGAGATCGCTGGTGAACGTGTAAATCGCGATGGTACACCATTTTCTATCCGAGCATTGTGGGAGGCGACCGTCGTTCTTGCAGGAGATCTGACGTGCATGCGCCGTTGTGCCTCTCTTCCGTTGGTGGCAAAATATTGCAAGGAGCAATTGCTCACCAAAAGTTAAAAATAAATTTTAATTATTTTCAAATTGTGCTGCGTCAATGCAAAAAGATCGCTGTGGAGAGCCTTTTTTTTTAATTTTTTTATAATAAAGATCATTAAACAAGGCAAGAAGACTGCAACTTGCAACAGTCAAAAACAACGTAAGATTCGAAATTTGTGTAGGACCATGTTAGTAAAAATACAAATCGAAAGGAAACAAGAAGCCGTAAAATATTTACTGCTTCTTCTATCCTTTTGATGCATTGAGTTCTGTTGCAGTCGATTTTATGTTTTCAACTCAGACAATGTCCCTTGTAATACAATTTGCAGCTGTATGATATGCTTTCAGACACGACAGGTTATCAAATGTGTTAGCAGAGCCGCATTTCGTGGCGTGTGTTGATAACTTTCTTCGAATGGTTATTTTTTCCATTATGTTTTTCAACCTGAGACTAGGGCAAAAGGCAAAAAAACAATTTTACTCCACCTGCCCCAGTCTCGGGTTACCAAAAAGCAGCATGGTAAATTTCCACCAGCCCGACTGTGCACCAAGTTCTTTTTTGCACTTGCCACAGCAGAAATATAATCCCATTCTTCTCTTGTGCTGGAGAAAGTTAAGAATAAAAAGTAAAAACTGCCTGCTTTAATATTTCTCACGTCTTTATTTCATTTAGAACACAGGCTTGCAAAGTAAACCATCTCAGTGTGGTTGCGATTGTTATCGATGGTGACACACAGTTTAAATATTAGCTTAAAAATTACTTCACCTTCAAAGGCTTCCGATGTTTACATTTATGTAGGCGTCACAATGTGAAGTTTGAAATGGGACTGCAGTATGCCATTTATGACATACCGTAAAGATTCCAAAGAACGCCCGTCCCCGAGAGATCGCCCATCCTGTTTTTCGGGCTAATTATCTGTAACATAAAAATTCCGAAACATCTGCCACCCTTGATTTCCGTCGGACGTCAATCAATGTCCGACGGGAGTCGCATCAACTGCGCAATTTGCTGTACCGGCACGTCTGACAAACAGAGTTTACAGCGGGTTCCCACGTTTTTGTCCGCGAACTGCGCACGCGATATCGGCTCCCGTAAAACGCGAAATGTTCCCACGTGTATGTTCCACTGTGAGATACGAATCTGCTGCGTCCGCAATCTGCGGTATCCGTTCCCTTGACATGTTTTTAACGGTTTTTGTCCGCGTTCTTGTCCGCGATCTGCGTGTGCGATCTTCATTTTACGCGAGTTGGTCCCGCGCGTAGATTGCATCATGAAATATGATTCTGCTGCGTTCGCGATCTGCGGTATTTGTACCCGTAACATACCAGTTTGTAGTGGATTCCTGCCTTTTTGTCCGCAATCTGCAAGCGCGATATTGGTTCCCGTGACAGGCAAGTTCGTAGCAAGTTCCCGTGTGCTAATTGCACCATAAAACTTGCACCTGCCGCACCCGCGATTTGAGGCATTCGTTCCCGTGAGATGCGAGTTCTCGGCAGATTTCCGCGGATCCTTTGCAACGTTAAACGCAAATCTGCTGCGCCTGCAAACTGCGGTATCCTTTCCCGCGACACAGGAGTTCGTAGCGAATTCCCGAGTGTTTATTGCATCCTGAAACGCGAATTTGCAGCGTCCGCGATCTGTGGTTATCAGTTACCACGTCACATGGTTTGTAGCCGGTTTTTGATAAAGTTTGGCTGTGGCGTCCCCAAAAATAGCCCAACCCATGTTTTTCATCATTTATCTTTTCATTTTGGGTGGGCATTCTTTCGGAACTTTACGGTAGGTAGCAAAAATAGTAAAAAAAAAAAGTAGTTTTAACAGCTTCCATTTAACAGCATTCAATGCTTTATGAAAGCAACAGATTGTGCGAGATAACAAAAATATGCGAGACCAGCAGTCCTACAATTTACACAACAAAGATTATGGAAGCATCCAACTTTTGCTTTGCTCAATTTCCATGCATGTGAAATGATGCAATGCAGCCTTTAGTGAGAAGGAGCAACAAACACAGTAAGCATTTAATAGGGAGGGTTCAGCTCAGCCGGAAATGAGCTTGTGTCGTCGAGTTACATGCCTCTGAACGAGCGCCCGTAACAGAAGATGCACGGCAGTATCCATGCTTTTGCATGTTATCAATTTCGGCCGCACAGTGGCAACACTGTTCAGTCTCGAGGCGAATAGAAAAATGTTTCTCCGAAAATAACGGATATGAATACTGCCCGGTGTGCAAGTGTTTGACAAAAAATCAAATCCAGCCTCTACAGTTCACACTCTATCAGGAAGCTCTCAGAACAACGGTTTTCGCTGAAGTCAGGAAAATGTTAACTTTCAGAATTCGGCTTTTCGCATGTTGTCCGGTGAACCGCTTCAGAAGTTGATGGATCAATTGCGACAATGTGACGCGGTGAATGCGCTGGTGCAAGCGGAAAATAGTTTGCAGGGAAATGGGAATCTCGAACTGGCCGACGCCTTACCGCCTCCTCCGCCCAGGAGCCTGTTGTTGGCAGCGTTGACAATGGCATCGATCTCGAGAGCCGTGATGTCGCCCACGAAGATGGAGACCTTGTTGTTCAGGTCTGGCCGCTTGCTCAACTTCCCAGAACCTGAACGCAAAATGAAGAGAAACACAAATGTACAGGGAGTCTCGAAAGAAAAGTCAGTCTTCAACTTACTGCGGTTGAAGTCAGTTTCAAACTCAACTTACTGTGGTTGAAGTCAGTTTCAAATAAAATAGATTTTCGAAAAAAAAAATAGAAGTGTGTGACTTGAAACAGTAAAGGTGTTCCAAATCATCATTACCTCTTGTAAAATGCACTCGAAAAGGGGTGAGGATGATAATGTCACCATGCAGTGTTGCATACACGTGTTTGCAGAAAACTGCACCCTGTAGAAGGCTGTTAAAGAGAGGTTGACATGGAACCATTTTGGTTATAAAGTCCGTTTCAGACAGTGTAGTTTATCACACAAATCTGTGCAAAGCTGCACAGCCATTATCCTTAGCTCTAGATGAAGTGGTGGCTACAATTAGCCCCGAGTGGGACCGATTGGAGCGCTGTGATCGCTTGATGGTGACATAGAGACAAGATCCCGTCACGGGGTCAGGCCTTTCCTTCGTTTTGCTTGTGTGACTTAACACGCAGCAGCAGAAACTGTTTGTTAAGTATAGTTTCTGTAAGAATGTTGTATATATTCTCACAGTTTCTGTAAGAATATTGTATATATTCTCACAGTTTCTGTGAGAATATAGCAGTTGGGATAGAACACCAAAATTTGAAAACATGACATTATCTGGATCAAAAGATAATGAAGAAAAACAAAATTTCTCCTTGAGCAGACGTCCACCAAAGTTTAAAATCGTCGAAACAAGAAATGACACTGTGAGCACCTGTAGCGTCTATTTCAGTGAAAAAGACTTCTCAGTGAGAAAGAGATCAATGTCCCCTTCTTGCTGACAAGTGTTTTCCACTGATATAAATCCCACAAACGTCCACAATGCCGAGTTCTGTTTTGACTATATTAGGCTTAAGTGGACGTCTGCTCAAAGAAATTTTGTTTTTACAGCGAAGCTGTTAAGGGCTAGGTTCCCCAGGATCGTGTCCGTGTCTGCTGACACAAACCTGCCTGGACAGCTACCGCCATCTTAAAGCGACGGCGGCAAACACACAACCAGTATGGTTTCCGCCGTTGCTCGTAGATGGCGGCAACCTTCCCAGCTATAATAGAATGAATGAATGGTTGGGCACCGTTGGTAGGAATTCATCGTAGGAAACAGCGCGAAAAACAGACGACGACGAAGGAGAAGCATACAAAGTGTCGAGTACAGCTCCGCTGGTCTTCCTTCTTCACGAGAGGGGAAAGGCTGAACGTTTTCTACATTATCTTTTGATCCAGGTAATGTCATGTTCTCAAACGTTTGCGTTATTTCCCAACCGCTAGCGTCACAATCTCAAAGAGTTTGAGCTTCCTGCGAGGCATAGTTTATTAACCTTGGCTTAAAAACACTGTTTTAGTTTCTCGAAAACTCTATTTTTGTTTTTGTTACGATGCAAAATGTGCGTACGACGAAAGCTAAGAAGAAATATGAATTTGCCAAGCGAAACGATCAGAAGTGTAGGTTACAATAAAATCCTACGATAGCTTCATCTGCACGAACACCTCTTGGACATTTCGCCGTGGGGACCAACAGGCATACTTCTACATGCTCTTCTCGTGCTTCCAGACTTCAAGCGTCAAAGGAAAGAATTAAATGCGTCGAAACTACAACGCTTGATGAAGACCGCTTGATTCACGAATTCCGAAAGCAACAACAACGATGTCACCGATTTCAGCGGCCGTAGCTGTACTCAACAGGCAAGGGGCCAAGGAGCACTTATCACTCACTGCCCCAACCACCTAAAAAATAATCATGCAACCTTTTTTTTTTACAGCAGAGCTGTTAAAGCCCAGTTTCCCTAGTATTGTGTCCCCCGCAAAGGAATGTGGACACAAAACTCTGAACAGCTGCCGCCATCTATCAGCGACGGCGGCAACCAGAAAATCGGCTTGCCGGCCTTGCTCATAGATGGTGACAACCTTTCCACATGGTTAAAAATACTCCGAGACTGTGGGTAAACGACAACACTAAAAAGAGACTTTTTAGAGTTGTGTCGTTTACCCGCATTCTCGGGATTTTTTCAACCATGTGCAATGTACACCAGCTCGTTTGCGCCCTTACATTCTATTCAAACTTTCCACTCTGGTTTTCACCACAATTGAAAGGCTGAATTTCTCTAGGCGTCGTCCTAGATGTCATACTCGAGGTCGTGCTAAACGTCGTCCTTGAGGTCGTCCTAAACATCGTCCTTGATGTCGTCCAGAAGGTTGTCCTCGAGGTCGTCCTAGAAGTCATTCTTGAGGTCGTCCTAGAAGTCGTCCTTGAGGTCGTCCTAGAAGTCGTCTTGAGGTCGTCCTAGACATCGTCCCTGACATTGTCCTTGGCGGCGTCTTTGAGGTCGTCCTCTAGGTCTTCTTAGAAGTCGTCTTTGAGGTCGTCCTAGATGTCGTCCCTGAGGTCGTCCTAGAAGCTGTCCTTGAGGTCGTCCTTAACGTCGTCCTTAGGCATCGTCCTTGAGGTCGTCCAAGAAGTCATCCTTGAGATCGTCCGACCATAGTAGAGCTTCGCTGGTCTTCCTTCTTCACCAGAGTGGAAAGGCTGAAAGTTTTTTTAACTGGACTTTCTTTGGCACGAATTGCATCAACACTAGCCTAGATCTTCTGGTTTGAAGGTGAGTCTTATCTTTTTCGTCGCACCCTTGTCATTTTCAAAGTATTGTGCGGCAGTAGAAGACGCTCTTGTCGCAGTGACACACTCATCGATTCTATTAGCTGCTTTCTTTGACGTACAGCTCAAATAAACACAATATGGATTACCCTCGCATCATGTGGTATATACACTTCACTTTTTCTGCGTGCACATGCTCCCATGAACTTGGCCAAATCAGATTTTCCTTCTTTTATGTGCCTACTCAACTCCCGTGGGCAAAGGGGATTTGACCGAGAAGAGGAGGAAGTCAGTGAAGTTGGAAGTGCAGGTCAGTCACTTTTTCACCTCTGCTGGCATTGCCCTACCAGACCTTAGGCATCTTAAAAGGCTAGGTTGTATTGCACTGATGCCACCAGCATCCACACAGCCTTGCCCGTGCTGGAAAAAGTGACATCACAGTCTCCCACGAAGCGCCGCGCTCTCCGATGGCTGCTCTTTGAACACATGCTAGGATCGGCCGTTTGGAACGAAAAATCGCCATCCAATCAAAATACAAATGTGCGATTGTTATCAGCATCTGTGGTTGGTCATGTTTAACTAATTTCTGAATATGAAAGGCATATTCCAATGTTCGTTTCAGTACCCCCCTAAATTAAGTTTTATGTACTAATTTTGATTGTCAATGAATCAAAATGTCACTGGGTGACTGCTCAGACCAATTATTTAAGTTTCGACATCTCGCAGTCTTTATCATGTAGCTGCCCAGCAGACAATCAAACACAAGCTTAAGTATTTATAGAAAAAGAAAAAAAAAAAGACTGTTGACAAACAGCTTTTTGACTGCTCAGAAGTCTTTGGTGTCAACCGAAGCTGCTTAACTCTTGCTTAAGCAGTATTCCGAGTCGTCATCTGCGTTTTGCCGGTTCGGCTGGCTCTACATCTTTCTGCATTGCTACGAGGCTCTGTCGGCTTCCGAACAGCATAAAACCAACTGACTGAAAGAAAATTTTAGAAACTACCATCCATCATCAGGAGCTGCCTCAACTCTTTTTGATGCCTAGGCGCCAACAAAATCACATGAAGCCACACTCCAGGTTGCTGCAAAGTGATGTATGATAAAGTTACAGCAACCCAAAAAGTTGCTGCCTCACCAGCTCCTGTTATGTTCTTGGCAGCAGCATAGGTCGGCCAGTCGTCCACATCTTCGATGGGAATGAACTTCTGGCCGCACTTGTAGAGTGACCGCTTGTCAGCCAGGGGCATGGACAGGTACTTGTCTAAGGAGTGAAATACAGAAATGGCACTAAGCAAAATGAAAGCTACTGTAAACATGTGGCAAGGGCTTTACTCATACCACTGATGGTATAGAACAGTGGTCTCAAAATCATTTGAGTGTGGGGGCCAGATAGCCCACACCGGAAAGGTCAAGGGCCAACGTAAAATGGGGGGCCAAAGCATTTTAAAAAGCAGATACCTCGTGCCCTATGCTTTTTGTACACTCTCAGTTTTGCCAGTAACATCGTAAGACTTTATTGGTTTTCATGACTGGTTTGGTCCCTGACCTCATGTGATAGGAAGAATTAAAATGACACCACCGTGCCGACATGCTACATTTTTAATACAACAAGAGAGCAAGTACACTGTCATTCCCGTTGCTCTATTCACACACGAAGTAACCACGCCCAACATATTTCGAAAACAGCAATCAGTTCATTTTACAGTTTTTGCTTCCCTGACAATTTTTATTACAACACTCCTAACAAATACTTTTGATGGTGATCTTTTTTTTAGGGCGAGAATCTCGAGCTCGTGGTTGCAGCCCGGGAGCGGAATTGTTGTACATTACAAAAAGCTGGGAAGCAAATAATAAAGCAAAACAAACGAAAAATGAACACAGATAAGTGTAAACTATGTGAATGTGTTAAAAGAGCAGGGCTACCTTTCGAGCTAAAATGAATTGACGAGATGAGATCACCATGGCACATGCCATTTTTAGCACTCGAGACATGAGTACCGGGACTCATAGCCATTTGCTTGCGGGCCGAGTTCCAGCGAGTCGCGGCTCGCATGCGGCCCACGGGCCGCATGTTTGAGACTTCCTGGTATAGAACATTCCACTCAAAAGAGAGGAGAGGGAAATGCCCTCTCACTTCGGCACAGCGTCTGCTCCGTAGACTGCGCAGTACCCAATATCCGTATGGCGTGCAAAGACGGATGAAAATCGCCTCATTTCAGCAATATTACGTGCAGATGCACGGATTTAGATGTGCAAGTTATTGTAAAATGTTATACTCGATAAAGAGACCAAGCGGGCACAATCCTGCTGTCATCTGCCACGCAAATAAAAATGACAAGTGAATACAACTTTGTATAAACCATGCGATTGGTCTGCCATCTGCGGCGAAAAGTGAATGTTGTGGCAGTAGCTTTTTGCAAGATAGTGTTTGTACTGATTTAGGCTTAGGAACTATGTGTGAAATGTCTAGATTTTTTTAAAAAATAGAGAAAACAAGGAATACACGTTAAATACTAAACATCCACACTTACAACGAATTTGCAGATGTTTTATTGCTTGCTAGCCTTGGAAATGAAGATCTCATAGCTTGCATTATCGCAGATATTTGTAGTGGTCTATTTGTAACCAAATTACCTTTGTGATGCTTACGCGTAGGTATTACTTGGAAAGCGACTAATGATCGCACAGCTGACTTTTGGTGCACCGCCGAAAACACAAAGACACGGGTGCGCCGGCAGCGGGGCTTGTGCAAAGTTGTTTATTGTAGTTCATAAAAAAAAAGTAAAAGCAGCTAACCTTTATTAACTGCACTTCCTTGGCTAACAAAATTCTATTACATATGGCTAGGAATATGTACTGTAAACCGCAATGTGTTCTAATGTTTCTGACCCTGGGAGTAAGAAAAATGTTACGTGCGTGTGGCGTTTTACGAAAACCATGAAGGCTTTTTCGAACTCAAAAGTGTACAATCAGGATTATGATTGTACAGCGGTTTAGGGTAGTACTGCCAGCGAACGCCATTGCTATTGAAGTAACTTAACGAAGGTACGCTAGCCGATTGTTTACTGAAATAAGACAACAGGGTGCAATAGACTGCTTCTGGAGTAGCTGTAAATGTTCTAGGGATGCGAACCACTTTGCAGCGGCAGCAGCGAGCGAGCGTCGAATGTTTGGTACAGCCCAAAGTAATACTGCTCGTAGTCTGCTATCGGGAACAGGTGCGTGCCCTCTCCCTCTTTTACCTGGCCTAATTCGTTGAAATGCCCGAATATAACAAAATGGCGTCGCCCTGAGAGTACTTATAGGCCAAAGGGCTGTTTACAAACAAGCCCAGAGAAGGTGTGTGCACTGCACATGTGCAAGAACCAGATTCGCGTCAAGTGGAGCGTCTGCACATGCGCCCTGCCAATAGCAGCGCCACAAAAGCAGTGCGACGTCAGGGCCATGTTGGCGTATACTGTTTCATACTTCACAGTCCAAGATGGTGGCACGAGCATGGGGTTTGATCTCGTGAATCATTTGACCGCATTCTCGCGCAAACGAAATCATATATGAAGCCACTCGCCTACGCCAGTCGGAATAGTCTATAATCAGCTGCAGGTTAAAAAAAAGCAGGTCACACCCCTCCCACATAGCTCTGCTTGCCATGATTGGTGATTTCCTCCTCTCCACTAGCCTCCTCTCCAGCGTTCGCTCTGCTAAGGTGGAAAGAGTAGCGCTTTGTGGGAGGAGCTTTTCGTGCTTTCTTAACTTGCAACAGGCTACAGGAGACTTTTGCAAAATCAATAACACCGAGCGAATAAAAAAAAAAAAAAAAGAAAAAGCTATTGCGGCAGGTTTGCTTGCCAGCTTTCTCGAGCTAATCAGTTATTTAGAGCACCTGGCGGTCAAAAGGCGAAGCCGAGAAAGTAGGTTCAAAAACACGCGATGAAAATCGCCACTAGTTGAGGCGGTCTGGAAATCGACGAAACACGTAATTAGAGAACTGCGCGAAGCGCAAAGCCAGGCTTCCTACGCGATACAATGTCAGACGCTCTCGTTGTAATGTTCTCTTACCTCACCTCGATAAACTCTGGATAAAAATAACGAGCAACCCCGCCCCCGCGCCTAACACACTGAACACAGCCACGTACCTCTCTCGGCAGCAACGTGTGGATCCGTCTGAAGCGGGTGCACCGTCACTGCCTCCATGACGCGCTTCATCACGAAGGACCTACGAACCGAGAAATTGACGAAACTGAGCGGAAGAGATTTTGTCACCCGCCTCTCGAGCATAAACATTCGTCGCCAACTTTGGTGCGGGGCGACGGCTGCGGCCGAGGCCCCGAACTTTAGCAGCCAAACACGACGCCACAGAGCGCTGCCACGGATTATCATGACGACGTTTTTTTGAAGAGAATTTACGTTTTGGTTCTGTGGCTAACGACACTTGAAATGTTTGCAATCATGCGCGAGCGTAACCGGAACGACAGCTACCGAAATTGTAACTGACCGGTAGAAGAGCGCAATGGCGATGGCGGCAACCAGGATCGCGCGCCACATAGTTGCCAACTTCTGTTTCGCAAAGTTTCTATCTCAGAAAAACCGAGGTTCAAAACGAAATTGAGGCCTACCCGCGAATCAGTAAAACGTCTGCGTGTGTTTATTTTAAGAGGGAGATTCTTTATCAAAGGTGTCATTACAAAGCACTATGTCTCTTTGCATCTCTAAACTGATAGAAATAGATTTTACGCTAAAATAGTTCCCAAGATCTGTTTTGTTTATTTAGCGTTTGTCTCGAATTTGATGCTTTCTATGTGCTGATGGTTTGTATGTATATCAAGGAATCATCAAGCGAGAACAACTTATATCAGGCTGACCACGATCACAAAGAAATGGTCTTCTGAGCAAGTCGGTGTTAACTGTACTTTAGATTTACAGTAATTCTTTCTTTCGCATTGCCTTCAGTGGTCCAATAGGTTGGTCAATCAATCTGTCATGCTTAGAAATTAATATCGTGACTAAGAAGCACTAGTTTATTATAGCTACAATGTTTTAGATAGAATTAATCTAATTTAAATGAAACAATCTGATATAATTAAAATAAATCAGATGCATTGTTTTTTATCATGATTTCTTTTCACTCTGAAAAATAGTGATAGGAGCAGTGAGAGTGATCTCTTGGAAAGACGCCGCAAGTCAAGGAGTCATTATTTTACTTCTCTGGTTCCTACAGTCCAAATTCTAGCTGGAGATTAATGAAAGAAACCTATGAATCTAATACCTAAATCTACAACTGCTTGGTAGCTCTTAAACTTGAGGAACAACCAGCATATCAGTACCGAGACAAACAAATAAAATTTAAATCGAGGGAAGGGGGGGGGGGGGGGGGGGGGTCTATACCTGAATACAGTCTTCGCTGCGTGTGTAACAGAATCGGCGGACATTAGATTGGGTTAACGGTACAATCGGTAGTGTAAATGACTAAAACGTGTTCACTTACTTTTTATTTATTAGTTTTATAGGCCACATTACAATTGCATTTCAGAAGCTTGTCCAAACAAATTAACAAAATTTGCCGGATGGCAATATAACGGGCTTTCAGATATTAATAAATCATTTTCACTCTTCTCGTTCTAAAACTGGATGTAAGAGTGCAGCAAGCAACACCCAGAACATGTGAAAACAGCAAGCAAGGATTACATAATCACGGCTCTCAAAATGCAGTCGTCTCGTGTTATTGCGAAGGGAACCTTCCACTCGGTAATTAAAAATGTATTAACACAGTTTGATTGATTGTTCACCGTATAGGGAAGATTATTCTTTCACCTAAAAGGGTATTTTAGAAGATCGTTCCGGTAACTCAAAAGACGATACCCGACAACGATTTGATGTATGGACAAAGGCGTCAACAAAGTATCGGGCATGGTTATCTTAGTCATCGGAACGATCTACTAAAACTTTTCACTTCCCCAGCGCCCTAGCGCATGCATGGCATCGTTATCGCGTTTTATTACCAGAGTTATCGCCATCGGAATGATCTAGTGTCACTCTCTAATGGCAGTAAATTGCTCGGATACCTCGGATATCGATACCCGGTGGCGATAACCGATGGCGATACGATGCATACGCAAAGGCTTTGGCGTTATCCAAACGATAAACTGAAACTCTCCAGCGCCCGCTGAGTGGGATAAACACGCAGAGAAGACTGCATTCATACGAAACGGTCTCACCCCTTTGTTTTAAAACAATTTGCGCATCTCGAGACGCATAAAATAATAAGCGAAATCGGCGAAACTGACTTTGGACGCTGCACTCTCCGCATGAGGACGCTTCGTTCCAAGGTGCCGCAAGTTCCGAAACTCTTTCGTGCTCCTCTGTCCAAGACGTTCTCCGCTCGGTGAGTGCTCTACATTCACTACTCTTTCGACGGTTTTTATTGGACGGCTAAACTACCGGTCAAAAGAAAGCTGAGTGATGTACGGGCTCAATGGAGCCGATCGACGAAATTGAAAATCAACAACAACGACGTTTTCCTCCCGATTCTTCATAACGTGCACGTTGCCGCTGATGAGTGATGACGGCGTAACGGTCAACATGCCGCACCCCCTGGTGACAAACGGGACAAACTTGGGGCAGCAAGGTCGCGCCCTTCACCTGCTTTCGGATATAATCACACATCCGCAATTTGTGTGATATTATAACTGACACCTAATTATCGGTGTAATGTGAGAGTAAAGAGAGTGCATGTCAAGTTCACCCGGCGGTAGATTGGTAGCCAATGAACAAGGTTCCTAGATGCAGTATATGTTTGTGGGTCCAATAAAAAAACAACATAATAATAATAATATGTGCCGCAGAGGCGGCAAACACGTTTTGGTATTTTCTGTGTATCACATACTAACTGTTTACATTGATTGTCGCCGTGACAGCAACATTTCATCCACAGCACGTTATCGCGTTTCGCCATAAGTTTTAGACCGCAGTCGAAGGCTGTAGTGTAAAGGCCGGTTCACACATGCAGCAAAGAGCTACGTGTCGTCCGCTACTTATCGTCTGCCTTGAGCAACAGTTTTGACAGTGGGATACAATGTTGGTAGACGCTGCTGTCCGCACGCGCTTAGCGCGAGGTCAGCGCTAAGCGCTGACCTCCGCTGCATGTGTGAACAGGCCTTAACTTAGTTGTTGGCAGTCACTGATTCGCCTTTGAACTGCTTAAACACATCAAAGATAGGCTGAGCTATATAGTAAACCCAGGTCAAAATAACGTTTTTTGCAAAGTTATTCAATTTTATTTTTAATTTTGTCCTCATCTCATTTTTCAAACTGTAGGGCTCTATTGAGGCAACCCTGAAAGCATGACGACAGATGTAATATACACCAACTCAACTCTGACGTCACACCACTGCGGTGGCGCTGCTGTCGGTACTGCGCATGTGCAGACTCTTCCCCTGACGCGAATAAGTATATGTCCGCCAGTGAACACTCCGACTGCAAGCAGGTCATCTGGCGGCCGCCATGCCTGTGCTCGTGCAGGCAAGTACGTGCCATTGCAAGCTTTTCTAAAGCTAATTTCACGCGCACGATGCACGTGCTTACACGCATGAGGCGCCAGTCGGGGGTCGTGTTTGCAGTTGTACATTCGAGGGCGACGTGCAGAGCGCATGCTCAGAACGAGCTCATATTAATAGGCTGCTAATACCGACAATCTTAATCGTGTGCAGCATCCACGTTGAAAAAGAACTGTGGAAAGCCCGCCGCCAGCAAGCGCTCGGCAGTTGCGCACACAGCTATGGCCGCCAGTGAATTTACTCCCTGTACCATTTAGAAGACAAGGTCTGCGCTCCTCCCCCCTCCCCCTCTCCCCCCCTCCCATGTGTCATCACTATACTCCGTTTCACCTTATGTTGTACCGCAGAGAAGGCTAGAAGCACGAGCCGCCTTGATGTGCCCTAGAGCGAGGAGCTCGCGCTTGTAGCCTTTCCTGCGGTACGCGGTGTCGTCCAGCATGCGTCAGCGTCGCCGTCATCGCGTCTCGCGGCGCCTCACAAAGCTCGCTGCGCTAGAGGGCGTGGCGACGCCAAGATCGACGCGTCCGCCGCTTTGCGGCGTCTCTCGTCGAGCTTTGGCGTGTTTGCCGCTTGGGGCGCGTGTGGATCCACTAAAGATGACGTCATGCACAGGCCTTTTGTCTTCTGGTGACATTAACCGCCGGAACGATCCCCTTGAAAGAGTGCTACAATAGGCGAAGTTAAATGCAGAAGTGGCCGGTTAGCCGCATCTGTATAATGGACGATAATGCCGACTGTTTTAGGCGTAAAGAGTAACAAAGACAGAAAAAAAAGGAAGATCCGCGATGAAAACACGCGTAAATCGGCGCCGTCGACAACTTGCCATTACCGCCGTGATTAACGCCGTCGAAAACTCCCCCGGGCACACGAGATTGCCGCGTCATACTAATGACTTTAACGAGTCTCGCGGTGCTCCCGAATTCGAGGCACGCCAGGCGGCCAGATCCCCACTGCACGCGTGTGGGGGATCAGATATAGGGCCCGGTGCGCGAAACCAGAATAAATTAGCGGGCAATGCAAATCGACAGAGAGAGGGAGAGAGAGAGAAAGAAAAGAAGTTTCTGGAGGATAAAAGGTATGCGGGCCGAGCTCCTAATTGTTCAACCTTTTCGAAGGCAGAATGGTCTAAACTTAAAGCCCCAGTCGCACTGCACATACATCATACAAAATACAGGCTTATCTGCGGACCGGCCTGTAAAACATGTTCGAAGAACGTTTGCTTCGTGCACGTGTGTTTCGAATATATCTGCAAACAGTGCTTGTAAGAGAGCACAGGACCGCCATACAAGGAAGAAACACGACACAGACAGTTTTTTGTTGTTGTTGTTGTTACAATAAACTACGTATTGCCGGAGTTCATTCTCCGCCCAAAGGTAGCGTCGCAGATGCCGAAGTTTCGAAACTAAGCGCTACCTTGTTAAGAATTGAAAAGTGATTCTCTGCATAGGCGTAGACTTGGGGGGGGGGGGGGGGGGGGGGGGGTGGCATCGGGGCTCGTGGCCTTCCCTGGTAAGATCCGGGGAAGGGGGAAGCGGAAGGGGCAGAGCCGCCCCCCCCCCCCCCCCCCCCCTCCCCTTTTCCGGGCTTGGGCCATGATCCTTACCGAGACGCTGTCTACGTGCCATGTAACGAGCTTCGAGTAGTGACATGTAAACAAAATAACGTCCGCCTTGCCTTTATTGACAAAATACATGGGAAATGGAATCCCAGCGTGCTTTCGTTAGCTTCAATATCCAGTTCTGGCGGAGACGCTGTACATTGAAGGGGGTCCGAAACCGTGTCCGAATTTTTTTTTTTTTTTTTGAAGCTAGGTGGCGCTGTTGGCGCATTAATTAAACAGGCAGCCGTGCGAGGTACGAATGTACTCCGAAAACGTAATCTTTGAAGTTGCAATCGTTTTCTGGTGACTCGCGAACTCTGGAAGGCGGTTGTGGTGCCTGGACTAACCTTCGCCAACGCGGTTCTTTGTGTCCCT